GAAGGAGAGCTCCAGAAAGACCTCACGCTCACGGTCTCCTCCACCGTTACACAGTACCTCGGGCTCAACATCCGCGAAGAAGAAAACGCCATCTATCTAAGCGCCGAGAAATACGCCGACACCATCGCGAAACGTTTCAGCCTCACACCAAGCGCCATCTCCACGCCCTACCGCTACACATCAGGAACCGAGAAGGAACGAACTACTCTACTCAAGCCCGCCGGCATACGCGACTATCAGAAGAAGCTCGGATGCCTGCTATTCGCCGCCGTCACCTGCCGTCCTGACTTATCCTACTCCGCAAGTCAGCTCGCCACCTATCTCAAGAAGCCTGAAGCTGAACACCTGGCGGAACTTGATCGCGCTCTCCACTACTTCGTCAGCACCGCGACGATCGGGCTAACCTACCACAAGAGCGCAGCTACACCGACTAAGCTAATCGGCTACGTCGACGCCGATCACGCCGGCGACACCGACAACAGGCGCTCACGCACCGGCTATGTCTACCGCCTTGAGCCTATCGGTCCTATCTCCTGGCAGTCGAGCAAGCAGGAGTTAATCGCACTATCTTCAGCAGAAGCAGAATATATTGCACTCTGCTCAGCCACCAAGGAGGGACTTTACCTTCGCGAACTACTGGAAGAAGCGAAGCTAGCCGAGTTACCCAGCTTCACCGTGTTCTGCGACAACCAGTCAGCAATTCGCATCGCCAACAAAAACGGCTTCGCAAACAGGACGAAACACATCGCCCTGCGCTATTTCTTCGTGAAGGACGAGATAGAAAAAGGGAAACTCGATCTGTCATACTGTCCAACATCCGAGATGGCAGCCGATTACTTGACCAAGAAACTCGGCAAGCAGAAGTTCGAATACTGCATGATGCTGACTGGACAAGGCCACGTCACCAGCAGTAACACTCCAGAAGCGAAGGGGAGTGTTGGAAACAATAAGTCCTAAGTGCGCTTCTGTCGTATCAAAATCCAAGGTACCAAGCGAAGCAGTCCCAATCGAAGCATCGAGTCAACCTCGGAGGTTAGGGTAACCGCCTGGAGGTTACGAGAAAGTCAAAGGTCGCTGACCTTTGACTCGACAATTACAGCGCGACAGTTAAGGACACACAACTGACTCGTTACAGAGCAGTTGCCCGAGTCGCGCTATATCGAACCGCAACAGCAATACAGTTATCTATTCCCTGTACTCTTATATAAATCCTTGTATTTGCTTGTTTAATTCAATCAACTTTGCTCTCACACACCAGTGCAAGGTCGGTTCAAATTCTTCACTAAACGCTTCCGCTGTTACAACTACTTCACCTAGAGTTATCCCTTGCAAAGATCCTAAGGGGCTATCTCAGCCCAACAGCGGGTACGGGAACCTCCACACCAGCTAGCGACCCGCTATCTACTGGCGGTTTCCGTTTCCCTGCTGCCGCTCCTTAAGCTGTGGGCAGTCTCGCTTCATGTGTCCCGGCTTTTTGCAGTAGTGACAGTTCCCCCTAAATCCCATTTTCTGTGAGCCGTCACTGTTAACTGCACCAATCTCTATGGGCGATGGTCCGTCCCTCGATCGAGCGTCGTTGATCGGTCTGTTGTATCCCCTATCGCGATCGTCACGACCCCGTCGGCTTCGTACTGCGTCGACGCGTTCTGCTGCTGCGACTACCGACTCGAAGGTGGACAACCCGTGAATCGCAATGACTTCCGCTATGTCCGGCTTCAACCCTTCGAGGTAACGATCGCGCATCTCTGCTTCCGTGATATCGTCTATCTCGTTGCAGATGCTCAAGAACCGTCGTGTGTACTCCTGGACGTTGCCTATCTGTCGGAAATGACGCAGACGCTTCCTAGCAGCTTCGGAGGCGTTCACCAAATCGAACCTACTTTTCAGCGCCGCTTCAAATCCTTCCCATGTGGTCGGAACCGTGGTAACACCCAAAGCTAAACTCCCTAAGCTCGAAGTTGCAGCTGCATGCCCCACGCCCTGTTGATGCCCGTCCGTCTGAGCCCTTCTTACAGCAGTTTGAGTGAGTTGGCGCCACCACTCCAAGGCCGGGCCCCTCAGCAGTGTAACAGCGTACTCGATCCGTTGCTGCGCGTCCGCCTCTTGCACCCCGCTCGCGGCGAAGTAGTTGTTCAGCATGAAGAGCCACGTCCGCACGTTCGCGTCGCGTCTGACTTGGGTCGAACGACTCGGGTTTCTGCGGCTTGAGTGCGCTTCGACGTTCCGGCAGCGCTTCCGCGCCAGTCGACGTGTTGGGCGCAAGAGTTGGCGTGGCATGACCATGGGGGTTAGAAGCCAATTCACGAAGCTGTTGCATTTCAGCTCGTGCCTGTCGATTTTCCAGCGTCAACTCTTGAAGTTGGCGCATGAGTTCGGCAAGCGTGTTGCCAATGTCGTGGGGGACTGCGTGCATGGTTTCGTCCATGTTCGCTCAACGACTCCAAGTCTGCAAGTCGGCACCGCGGGACGATGACGTCGTAGTCTCGTCGTCGACGGTCGCTCGTTGGAAGTCGCTCCCCGCGAAGGCTCTTGATACCAAGTGTTAGGCCCGACGGCCTAAGTCCGCTAAAGAATTAGCGGGGTCGACTAAGTCGAGGATGAAACGCGGCGGAAGACTTTGGCGAAAGAACTATTGGCGAAATAGGCGAAGAAGTTACTGAGTAATTGAAGAAGAGTTGAATGAGAATTGATTGATAATGGCAAGCACAAGCAAGGTTTATATAGCATGCAAGAAACAAGGTTGGAAAGTGGAATGTGGGACCAAGAATTGGAGTGCAAGAAAAGTAGAGTGCCACGTGGCACTAGAGAATCTGAGAAGATAAGGATAATGGTGACTAGGAATGTACTGTTCGGAATGAACAGTAAACACCCCTCTAACAGATTTACAGCTTAGGGCAAATAACCCTCGAGACCACCTTCCCCCTCCAACCCCATTTCCTTCACCCTGTCACCACCGGCACAGTCGCTTAGCATCCCAGACATATCACAACAGCAGGGTCTTCTGACAAGCACCCACACGCCGTTCCGCTCCGCCTTTCACGCAGCCACTCCATCTCTCCGCACCGCCACCGTCCATCCGCTCCTTCTTTCCCGCCTTCGCTGCCTACCACTATGTCTCAGGCTCTGACTCGGTCTGTCCTGAGGCGCGCGGAGATGCTGCGCAACGTGTCCGCGAGGCAAATGTCGTCGGCCTCGTCGCACGCGCATGACGTTGGTGAGAAGAGAATTGTCGACCACCTGCAGAGAGCTTCTTCTTTTTTGGATCTAGATCTTTGCGTGAGGTGACCCTTGAGTGGATGCAAACGTCGTCTTGTTGGTGACGAGCGTTCCTCGCTGATCACGATCTCTGCGTGAGCAGATACGTTAGGCCTTCGTCGTCCTTCATATCCGTTTTCAGACCAGGCGATGCTGTCATACCGTTGGAGAGGACCCTTTATTATCTCTCCCTTAGTTGATTTTCGAGTCGCCTCAAGTGACCTCGTTACCGTCACACAAGGCGCATTGTTCTAAGGTAGAAGAACGGCGTTTATTCGCACTCGTGTAGGTTATTCCTAGTCTATTCCCATTCGTCGTCCGCGTATTCTAAAGCCTAATGAATACTTTTATTTTTTTTCTCAGAAGTACTTTATTTCTTTTGTCATCATCTTTCGCGTTTGGTTTCGTTGCGTTTCACTGCTGCGCTTTGCGTTGCGTTGCGGTGCATTGTGGTGCGTTGCGGTGTTTGATGGTGCGAATAAAACAGAGGAGACCATCAAGTGGCGGAACATCACGGCGGTCGCCATCGTCGGCTGCTTCGCACTGGGCGTCTACAACTTTGCGGGAGCCGCTCACCACGCGAAGCACGACCGACCGGTGGGTGACCCTTCTCATACATTTCGTTTGATTCTCTGAAGTCCTTCAAAACCTACTCATTATGGGTGCTTGCCGATAGACAATCTTGCATTGTCATGGGCTGTCACCGGGCTTTACACACAGATGATATGGTGCTTTTGTCGAGTTCGGAATCATTTATTTACTACCAGTGCGCAGCTCTTCATTGTGCACAAGAGCTGTCCTCGTGTACAAGGAGGGAGTGTGTCTGACTCTTACATTTTGTCGTTGTGTAGGTAGTGCAGTATCATCTTGTCGTTGTTTCGGCTTACCTATATGGCAAATTCTAATTCAAACTTTGACCAGCTTCAGATGTAACTTCTACATCGACTCAAGCATTATAGTTAGACAAGGTTTTGAGGTGTGCATGCAAGCTGCACAGCATACTTCCAAATTACCAGGGAGTAATAACGGATTCCATTTTTGCGGTATTTCTGTTTCTCCCTTGTGGGTGTGGTCACAAATCATTTTGCCGTTGCAGGCATACCCCTACCTTCACATTCGCAACAAGGAGTTCCCTTGGGGTAAGAGAAACAAGAACTCCTATCCTACCGTATTCTTTTCAGCCCTTTCTCTCTGTTTCCTGCATTGTATATCTACAGTCCTCGGATGTATAATCTGAATAACCTTTTAAGCTGGCTTGGTCACCCGTCTGCTCCGAACAAACTTGATGTAGTTTTGCCCCTAGCTCTTACCTCACCTTGTGTGCGTTCTGCATGTCTGCAGGACCCTGCGGCCTGTTTGAGTGGGATTGCAAGACTGCCGCGGATGCCAAGTGAAGCCTTTGTAGTGCAAGCTCAAGCGCAGCAGATATACCGTATGGCAGAAGTGTTATAGTCCATGTTGAAGCAAATTCGAATCAGGGTGATAGTCAAAGCCCAGCTGTTCTCTGGAAAGGGAAGCAGACAATGGCTGTTGGTACTGTGAATAGCAAGGATCATGATTCTTACAGCATGCATAAGCTGTGATGCCTTACCGTACCTTCCATGCCTGTTCATGTTGTACACTTGCTGAAGCTATTGCATTTAAATGCATAGTACAAGGTAAATCGATCTGCTTCTTAATGGTCCAGCCCCTGCACCTTTGAGAAAGCTAATACCATATACATAGTGCATCGTATCACAGTAGTGCTAGTCCTGTGCAGAACGCTCTGCTACAAGCACGTCACCCCTCGAGTCTCGTGAGATGCGGATTTCCTTGTCAATGTAGGTGTTGTCAAACCTGTTGGAGTGGCGTGATAGAATGGGAATTTCATCATATCGGTACTTGGAGCAGCAGCATCTGGGGCAAAGATTGGACAACTGGCAACTCGTGGTTCTGAATAAAAGTCTCACAATCGTTGTAAGGGACTACCTTTCCATACCATCATTGGCCGAGCCGAGTAGCAGACCAGGTAGGGTCCACGAAGCAGTGATCAATCCAGCATGTAGCAAACTCCAAAGTTACCTTGTTACCGTACAATGGCACACAGAATTCACTGAAGCAGCACATTTCCACTCACCATCCTTGACCAAAGGGTGGGACAGGTAGTGTCCAGGACGCCGTGACTAGCCGAGCACCTGTGAACCTGTTTGATGAGGGGAAGGGGAAGCAAGAAGCGACTTTTGAGTCAACCCGAAAGGGCGGGAGTTGGAACAGGTAGGGTCCACGAAGCAGCTACTAGACAAGCACCAGTGAACCTGATGTGGGGAAGGGGAGGTAAGAAGCTTGATAAATGCAATCCAGGCAAGGCAAGCAAAGGCATGGCTTAGCAGCCCTGAAGATGCATGCGACAAACACGGGTAAGAAGGGGAGCTGATAGGATGTAGGACGTTGGAGAGAAGAAACTGACAGAATTTTGACATGTCACACGTGTGAGAGAGGAGGAGAAGGGGGAGAAGAAGAGGTGGGAGAGAGGGAGTGGAACGGAGGGGGAGATGGGAGCGAAAGGGATGGTTAAGTGGGATGATGGATGCGTGGGGAATACTGATGGAAGGTGATGGGGGATACTGATGGAAGGTGATGCGAGCGGAGGCTACGTGGATGGATGCAGACATGTTGAACATGTGCGTGTAAGGGAGGGAGAGGGGGAGAGGGGGAAAGTGGGAGGGAGGATTGGTAGGTGTGTGCGTTGGGGGGGGGGGGGGGTACTGACTGGAAGGTGACTCTTTGGGCGGAAGCCACTTGGATGGATGCAGAGACGTCAAACATGGCCGAGGGGGGCAGAGGGGGGATTATCAGGTGGTGGGTGTGTGTTGGGGGTGAGCGGGGGGGGGGGGGGGGGGGGTTGTGTGGAGGGACGGTACTGACTGGAAGGTGACGCGTTGATATGAGGCGATTTGGGTGGAAGCAGAGACGTCAAACATGCCCGAGGGGGGGAGACGGGGGATTGTCAGGAGGTGGTGTGTGTGTGTGTGTGTGTGTGTGTGTGTGTGTGTGTGTGTGTGTGTGTGTGTGTTTGGGGAGGGGGATAACACTGACTGGAAGGTGACGCGTTGTGCGGAGGCGACTTGGATGGATGCAGATACGTCAAACATGCCCGAAGGGGGGAAGGTGATGGTGTTGCTCAAAGTGCCCTTTGCCACGTCTATGGTCTGCAAATGGCATTGGGGGACCGAGGAGGGAGAGGCGGGAAGGGGTAAGCGAAAGAGAAAAAGGAGGGGGTAAGGCAGGGAAGGTGATGGTGTTGCTGAGAGTGCCCTTTGCCACGTCTATGGTCTGCAAATGGCATGGGATGGTGGTTCAAGAAAGGGAGGGGGTGTGCGGAGGGGAGAGAGGGAGGCGACTTGGATGGAAGCAGAGACGTCAGAGATGCCCGAGGAGGGGAAGGTGATGGTGTTGCTTAGAGTGATCTTAGCCACGTCTCTGATCTGCATGGGGTGGAGGGAGTAAGGGAGGGAGGAAATGAGTGGGAGAGGAAGGGAAGGGGGGGAAGGTGATGGTGATGCTCAATGTGCCCTGCGACACGTCGTGCGACACGTCCTGCGACACGTCTATGGTTAGCATAGCCTGGTAAAAGAAGCTGCTTACTTGAAATGTGTCTCCGGCGGTGGTGCTGAACAAGGGAGCCTGCTTGAAAATGAAGAGCGTCTCTTTCTCAGTCGTCCATAGAAGCTTCCACGTGGCACTCAATGATTCGTCAGACGTTGTCACAGGAGATTCCTTCCTCTCGTCCGCTCTTCCGCCTCCTCCTAGCTCCTCCAGCGATTCAATAGCTGCCAGAATTTCGCGAGTAATCGCCTCGTCTGTTACCACTCCGCGCTCCGACTTCGCAATCGCGGCGCGGAGTCTGGCCTTGATTGCCGCCGCGTCATCCGCGTTAGAAGAGGAATTTGTACCGCCCGTCGCCGAGGCAGTGTACCGAGTTCGGCCGCTTCTCGGCGATTGTAACCGTCTCTTGGAATCTGTTACCAAATTCGGCAATCTTTCGTAACCAATGCAGCTCACAGGACCGGTAATAGGGCTGCAAGTATGACAAATATGAGCAATATAATTACTGGCGACGCGCATAGTAGTTACCGCGGGTCGAAGTGTGTGACGTGGCGGCAACAGCTTAGATGCTGTCGTGGGACCGCGGTTGACGACCATGGACTCCATGGGCCCGTTGATGACGGCTAACCGGCAAAGATGACGACGGACGCGAAATGCCGAGGGAATCCGTCGGACCAAGGACTGCTCTGCCCGCACACAGCACTGACGGAATCCGTCTGACTTAGTGGGTGTGAAGTGGCGAGGCGAGCTTCACTTCACGTTTCTGAAGTGAAGCAATGGGAGATTTCCTCACCCTCATTCACAGCTTTCAAAAAGGTTCAAACTGGTTGTGGAAAAGGAAGTTTGAACAATCGTGGGTTCAGTGCGGTTATCTGTCAATTTTAGAGCCACGGATGCCCGATATCCATTTTGGATTTGGCCCTTCCGAGAAGGGTTTGAAAGGGTTTCGCTCTCTGCTCGGTGTTGTGCGTTTTGAAGAGGTACGTATTGTCAGCCGCTGAGGGCTGTCTGAACTTTGACACATGAAGCGGGTGAAATTCCACTGCACAAATAACTCCGACTTGTAAACGCGTTTCTCTGTAACGAAGATCTGCATGCTAGCTTCCTCTCCCTCCCGACATGATTCGAGAAACCGTATTCAACATCCTCGTAGCAATTTTAACTGAAAGCTTTCGAGCGGGTAAGATGACCCCGGAACAGTTACGACTGTCGATGTCTATACATTCCTGTAATGTATTTGATATCAAAAAAAAAAAAAAAAAAGATGACCCCGGAACTACCATTCGGAGTCTCAACGAGTATCTGGAAAAAGAAATGTTCCAGTCACGTAAGCATTTTGGCTAAAAATGAACGCGCATTCACTCGGCATTTGTGGTCCTGATGAATTTCTTTCATTGGGTGCCCATCTGAAGCCTACGTCATTGAGTATCTGCTCGTTTTACCTGAGTCATTCTTTCAGCCACTGTTACTTATGTGCGGTTGTAGTTCCGAGTTTCCACTTATCGAATTCTTGCTCCCGAATACGAGCAATTCTCTTCTGTGAATTCGAGCTAATTTCTTCGCGAATCCGCTCTCCTGCTTCCGGAGCGCGCGAAATCAGGGAACGACTCTTTGGCATTACTTCCCTCTATTTCTCAGTTGTGCTTAGTGTGTTGGCCTGTTAAAGGACACATCCAGAATTACCGTGTCGGCCCCAAAACTGTCACCACTTTCGTGTGATTGGTCGAGGGTTTTGAGTGGGATTTTGACGCGATTGGTTCTCGATTTCCCCACCGAACCTGTCTCTGGGGTTTCCCGAACCTACATTTTTTTCGTTGACTTCGTTGTGTAATTCGGGGTGTGGCCTTTAACGTCAACTGAGTCTCAGTTGGCGTCAGCTGACTCTCAGTTAGCGTCAACTGTCAGTTAGTCTCAGTTAGTTAACCACTGGAGACTGATTGTAGACCCGCGATTGTCTTGTTTGGGTTGCAAGAGTGCGAATGTTAGGAACAGTTTAACCGAGTGGTGATTGTAAGGGGTTTGGCTGGTGATTCTATCGAGTCGAGATTCACTTGTTGAGTGTGGGAGCTAATCACAAAGCCAACGCTAGCCACGTCACCTGCCACGTCAGCACGATGCTGAAGAACATGTTCGGCCCGAAGCTGACTCCGCAGCAGCAGCTGCGGGAGTGGCAGCGCAAGCTACGGCAGGAGCAGCGCAACATCGAGCGGAACATCCGAGGTGGGTGGCTGGGGCGAGCGGTGGGATGGGATGGGATGGGATGGGATGGGATGGGATGGGATGGGATGGGATGGGATGGGATGGGTTGGGATGGGTTGGGAGTGGCAGCGCAAGCTACGGCATGAGCAGCGCAACATAGAGCGGAGCATTCGAGGCTCGTTGGGATGGGATGGGATGGAATGGGGTAAGGTGGAGCGAGGTGGACGGGGGTGGGGTGGGATGGAATCGAGTGGGATGGGATTGGGTGGTGTCACGTAGATGGTATGTTTCTGGAGAGCTGTCTTTGAGACGCCAAAAAAATACGCCAATAGCTGTCTTTGAGCGTCTGATGTTTCTTGCTCTGTAACTTCTCTTCAAATGGTACACGCCATGGTCATGACTTTTGAGTCGGCTCAAAAGTCAACATGATACACGCCATGGTCATGGAGAGGACTTTTGAGGCGCCTCTAAACACGCCATGGTTTCATGGAGAGGTACTGGCATACACCATCGTTTCATCAAGGAGATTGAGGTGGTAAATCCGAAGAAGGAATTAAGGGGGGTGGTGAAGATTCAATCTACTGAAGATACACTTAAATAAATCAAATATAATCCATCCACTATGTCATCGCTGTATCTTACCGATTACTCTCCTTCATCCCTCTTCCCTCCGTCCTCCCTCCGTCCTCCCTCCGTCCTCCCTCCGTCCTCCCTCCGTCCTCCCTCCGTCCTCCCTCCGTCCTCCCTCCTCCTTCATTCCTCCCTTTTCCCCCTGTCTTCCCTCCTCTCCCTTTCGATGCAGAAATTCAACAAGAGGAGGTGAATGTGAAGTGGGGAATCAAGGAGGCGGCCAAGCCAAGCGGGGCAGACAAACCAACAGAGTGATAAGAGTGATGCCTTTCAATCTTGCCACCTTGCCGCATCATGCCTTCCCCCCTCCTCTCCCTCTCCTTCTTTTTGATGCAGAGATTCAGCGAGAGGAGGTGAATGTGAAGAAGGGAATCAAGGAGGCGGCCAAGAGGGGCGATCTGGGTTCAGCCAAGGTGTGTGGGATGGGCGAGGTGTGGTGTGATGGGATGGGATGGGATGGGATGGGATGGGATGGGATGGGATGGGATGGGATGGGATGGGATGGGATGGGATGGGATGGGATGGGATGGGATGGAATGGGGTGGGATGGGATTGGGTGGTGAGTGGGGTGGTGGAGCGAGATGAATGTGAAGAAGGAAATCAAGGAGGCGGCTAAGCGAGGCCATCTGGGATCAGCCAAGGTGTGTGGGATGGGAGAGGTGTGGTGCGGTGTAGTGCAGTGCGGTGTAGTGCAGTGCGGTGTAGTGTGTTGGTGCAGTGTGGTGTGGTGTGGTGTGGTGTGGCACCGGCGTCTAGCCAAGGAGTTAGTGGGATCGCGCAATTCCATCACTTTAACGCACATTGCTCATGTAATCCTTTCATAACCAACACCCCCCCCCACACCCAGCCCACCACCCCCGATCTCCCACATCTCTTATCTCCCATCCCATAATCTCGCAAGGCGTATTTTGAGGCGCCTCAAAATACACCTCCGATCTTCCACGTCTCTTATCTCCCATCATCTCGCAAGGCTATTAGGCAAACGCAAACGCACATGGCTGATGCTAACCCTCCACAACCCTCCCAGTTTTGAGGCGCCTCAAAACTAGTTTAGGCAAACGCACATGGCTGATTCTAACCCTCCACAACCCCCCCCCTCCTTTTTCCAATCCCACCCACCCTGCCTCGCACTTCCCATCTCTCAGCATCTAGCCAAGGAGCTGGTGCGATCATGCAAGGCCATTAGCCGCATGCGCGAGCAGAAGGCTCAAATAAATTCCATATCCCCACTCCCATCCACCTCTCCCCTTTCGTTACCCCCTGTCATTGCAGCACCTAGCCAAGGAGCTGGTGCGATCGCGGAAAGCCATTCGTCGCGTGCATGCACGAGCACAAGGCTCAATTGAACTCCATCTCAACCCTCTCCTCCTTTGTTACCCCCTGTCATTGCAGCACCTAGCCAAGGAGCTGGTGCGATCGCGCAAGGCCATCGGTTGCATGCACATGACTCATGTGTGCTCTCCACTCCCCCTCCCCTTCCTCCCTTTCTCCTGTCACGTACTACTATCATCCCAGCACCTAGCCAAGGAGCTGGTGCGATCCCGGAAAGCCATTGGTCGCATGCACGAACAGAAGGCGCAGATGAACTCCATTTCCCTTCACCTCGGGGAGAACATTGGTGAGTGGGAGGTGGGGGAAGTGGAGAGGAGGGAACAGGGGCTGGGGGGTGTGAGCACGAGCAGAAAGCCCAGATGAACTCCATCTCCCTTCACCTGGGGTAGAACATTGGTGAGAGGGGGGTGCAAGAGGAGGGAGTGGGCAGGGGGAATGAATGTGGGGGTAGTAGGGGGGATATGAGCACGAGCAGAAGGCGCAGATGAACTCTATCTCACTGCACCTGGGGGAGAACATCGGTGAGGGGGGGAGAGAGGGGGGAGGGGGATTGGGGGGGGGATTGCTTATAGACGTGTGTGAGGGTTGGGGAGAGTTTGAATGTTGAGAGGGAGATTGAATCGGAGGGTGTGAGCATGCGCAGGAGGCTTAGATGAACTCTATGTCACTGTGCCTGGGGGAGAACATTGGTGAGTGTGAGGGGAGGGGGTTATGAAGGGTTTGAGCATGCTCAGGACGCTTAGATGAACTCTATTTCAATGTGCCTGGGGGAGAAAAATCGGTGAGTTTGAGGGGAAGGGGGTTAGGAGGGTGTTTGGGAGGAAGGAAGGGAAACAGGGGATGGGCGTGTGGTTGTTGCCATAAGCACGCGCTGAAGGCTCAGATGAACTCCATTTCGCTGTGCCTGGGAGAAGGGAGATGCCTGGGGGAGAACATCGGTGAGCGTGAGGAGGAGGGGTGGGAGTGGGTGGCTCTAATGGGTGGGATGGGGAGGAAGGAAAGGGAATAGTGGGAAGGGGTTTTGTTGTTGGTGTGAGCACGAGGTCGCGAGCCCAGCTCAACTCCGTGTCGCTGCACTGGGGGGGGAAGATTGGAGAACGGAGGGTGGGGAGAGGGGAGGTTGGTGAGGTTGGGAGCAGCAGGGGAGGCTCAGCATTGGCAGCACTGAGAAAGAGGCAGCTGGAAAAAATTGCTGGTATGCTATTTGGAGCTTGGCAAGATGCGCTAAGGATGACATGGGTAGCGGCAGGCAGGAGATTTGGAGCTTGGCAAGATGCGCTAAGGATGACATGGGTAGCGGCAGGCAGGAGATTTGGAGCTTGGAAAAATGCTTTCAGGATCCAAATCTCCTGCCTGCCGCTACCCATGTCATCCTTAGCGCATCTTGCCAAGCTCCAAATAGCATACCAGCATTTTTTTCCAGCTACCTCTTTCTCAGTGCTGCCAATGCTGAGCCTTCCTTGAGAGATCCACCAGAAAGCAGAACAGAGGGTGGGGAGAGGGGAGGTTGGTGAGGTTGCTGCTCACCGGAAAATGTCCCAAGACGAGCATGGCGAAGGTGGCAAGTGCTGGCACAGGGGTTGAAAATCATCAACGAGTTGAGAGCCCCTGTGCGCGGTGCTGCTTTGCTGAACCTCGCACCCTCTTTCTGGTCCACTTTTAAGGCATCTCTTTAAGACCTCACGCCCTTCCCCCCTCCAGCCATGGCGAAGGTGGCAGGGCACATGGCCAAGAGCGCAGAGGTGATGAGGCAATTCTTAGACATCATCTCCTCATCATGTTGCTTCTCTTGCGTAACATGTAATATCTCTCTGCCTCTCCCGCCAAACCTTTGCTCTCTTCCCCGTGCCTGTGTGCTTCCCCGTGCCTGTGTACTTCCCCGTGCCTGTGTACTCCCCCGTGCCTGTGTACTCCCCTGTGCCTGCGTACTCCCCCGTGCCTGTGTACTCCCCCGTGCCTGTGTACTCCCCCGTGCCTGTGTACTCCCCCGTGCCTGTGTACTTCCCCGTGCCTGTGTACTCCCCCGTGCCTGTGTACTCCCCTGTGCCTGTGTACTCCCCCGTGCCTGTGTACTCCCCCGTGCCTGTGTACTCCCCCGTGCCTGTGTACTCCCCCGTGCCTGTATACTCCCCCGTGCTTGTGTACTCCCCCGTGCCTGTGTACTCCCCCAACCCCTCCAGCCATGGCGAAGGTGGCAGAGCACATGGCGAAGAGCACAGAGGTGATGAAGCTCGTCAGCGGGCTGAGTGGGATGGAATGGGGGGCCTGAGCCCTGTGCTCACATGTAGATCCCTCCCCCAAATCCCCCCGTTGCAATTTCTTTTGACCCCTCCCAATCCCTCTCCAATCCCTCCCAGCCATGGCGAAGGTGGCGGAGCACATGGCGAAGAGCACAGAGGTGATGGAACTCGTCAGCGGGCTGATTAAAGTGCCGCAGGTGGTTGGTGCTTCTGTGTTGAACCACCCCCCTCCCCCAACTCCTCCTTCTCCCTGGCTCCCCCTGTCCAATCCCTTCCAATCCCTCCCAACCCCTCTCCATTACCACCAGCCATGGCGAAGGTGGCGGGGCACATGGCGAAGAGCACAGAGGTGATGAAGCTCGTCAGCGGGCTGATCAAAGTGCCACAGGTCGCGGGCACGATGCAAGAATTATCCAAAGAGATGATGAAGGTGCGAGGGTGGGGGAACTGGGAAGAGGGGAGAGGGAGGAGGGAAGAGCCTTTACAGTGGCATTTCAGCAGCTCTAGAAGCATGTGAAGCTCTACGGAGTCATAGGGGGAGGTACGGCTGCTGTGAGCGGAATAATAGCAGCCCTACTGCAGCCCTACAGCAGCCCTACTGCTGTGAGCTCTGTAAAGTGTAAAAGCTGCAGCTCTAGAAGCATGTGAAGCTCTCTACGGAGTCATAGGGGGATGTAGGGCTGCTGTGAGCGGGCTCAGAAGCACATGAAGCTGCCGCGCAGCCAGTCCGGTCAGTCATTGGGTTGGTCTAAATGCCCCTGGTGGTGGGCACGATGCAAGAGCTGTCCAAAGAGATGATGAATGTGAGGGGGGGAGTAGGGGTGGGGAGAGGGAAAAGAGCGCCTGAGCACTCTAAGGGGCACATGAAGCCAATCAACCATTTGGTTGGTCTAAATGCCCCTGGTGGCGGGCATGATGCAAGAGCTGTCCAAAGGAGATGATGAATGTGCGATGGGGAGGGGGAGGGAGGTGAGAAGTGGGAAAAAGGAACAGCCTTATAAGAGATCCTGCAGCAGTCTCATCAAAGTCCCGCAGGTGGCTGGCATGACGCAAGAGCTGTCCAAAGAGATGATACGTGTATGAAGATTGGTTTTGAGACGTCTCAAAACCAATCTTCATACAGGTGGCTGGCATTATGCAAGAGCTGTCCAAAGATATGATGAATGTGCGATGGGGCGGGAGCGAAGAGTGAGTGAGGGGAAGAGTGAGAGAGAGGGAGAGAGAGAGAGGACTTAGCACCCAGCCCTCTTCCTCTTCCCTCGGCCCTCTTCCTCTGAGCCTATTTAAGGGCCCTTGGTGCCTTCTTCTCCTCATTATTTCGTGTGTTCTCAGTTTCCCGCGGCTGGAGAGAGCGAGAGAGAGAGAGGACTTAGCACCCAGCCCTCTTCCTCTTCCCTCGGCCCTCTTCCTCTGAGCCTATTTAAGGGCCCTTGGTGCCTTCTTCTCCTCATTATTTCGTGTGTTCTCAGTTTCCCGCGGCTGGAGAGAGCGAGAGAGAGAGAGGACTTAGCACCCAGCCCTCTTCCTCTTCCCTCGGCCCTCTTCCTCTGAGCCTATTTAAGGGCCCTTGGTGCCTTCTTCTCCTCATTATTTCGTGTGTTCTCAGTTTTCCGCGGCTCGCGCCGGCGGCCTTCGGCCGCGCGTTTCTGGTGGCAAGACACAAAACGGAGGATCGGCTTATATAGGGCACACACACACACACAAAGGCAAGGAGCTGGGCAGGAGCAAGAGGCGCGGCATGCAATTCTACACACGGCGGAGGCCTACATCGTGTACGGCTCCGCCCCCTCCACCTCAAGCATCGAGCGCATGCACGCCGACAACGCAAGAAGGAGATGCGCCGACGACTGGAGTGTGTCCAAGGGGGTCCCGGCTTGAGCAGCCCCTACAAGATCCCCCACGTGGCGGGGGAAAGTACGGGCTAAGGGAGCTACCCCGGCGGGCGCGTCCGACACGGGTGCCAACTGCGACTCGAGTGATTCTGCCAAAGTCACGCAGGATCCTCGGGTCCCTGGACCAAAACTGCTCGGAAAGCTCCTCGTGGCCCCACACACCGCCAGCTGCAAGTTCGCCACCACCTCCCACGCCTCCGCCGGATTCAGAACCCGGCACATGGTCAGCATGGGGTCTCTCCCCGCGCGAGTGGGGAGAGGTGCAGTCTGCGCTTCGCGCGGAAACGCCGCCGGCCAGCCAGGAGTCCGGCCAACAGCCAAGCGCGGCGCAGAGAAGCCGGGAACCTGACAGGGGGGTGCGGAACTGAGTCCTCCCCTCACGCGCGGGCTGATACTCGCGCAGCGTCGGCGCACGCAGAGGAGCGACCTGGCCTAGGTCCGCGGCGAAGGGGGGACCGTTGGTCACCTCAATATGGACGTGAGTCGGCGCCCCACTCGCCCGGGCCTGCCTCACCACCTCCACGAACGTGTCCGCAGCATGATCGAGGGCTGGATCAGGCTGGTTGCCATTCCCGCCTCGCCCTCCGCCCTTCCGCCAGCCCCGCCGTCCCCCGGAACCAGCCGAATGTGGACGCGGGGGGGACTGCTCGCGGCGACCCGAATCCCAGCGACGACCAGGCGACCCCCTCCCCCGCGTCGCCGGAGATCGCCGAGGAGAACGTTGCGCGGGGGATCGCGCTCGCGGTGAGCGCTGGCCTGCCTGACCACGAGGGGATGGGCGGCGAGGGGAGCGAGGACGTGCAGGAGAACGCTTACCCCCCTCCCCGCGCTGATAGTGCTCGCGACGCTCAGGAGAAGGGCGGCGAGGAGAGGGCGGCTGTTGAGGGTGCCGCAGAGGCGAGCACCCGCGCTCCTGCCGCGGCTGACCGTCCGGGCGGTTCGACGCAACACGAGCAGGCGCCCACGAATACTCTGGCGAGGCGGGGCGCGCGGCAGGACGATGGGGAAGCGTTTGAACCCGCTCGAAGTGGTGCACGGGCTCGCTCGCGGAGGGGTGCGTAGGGAGACGCGGACGAGGCCCGGCAGGCGCAGGCTGCGGTAGCGAGCTCTCCGCGGAACCCTCCAGCTCCGGATCCCGTCTCACGGATGGGTCCATCACCCCCGATCTTACCGCAGCCGACGCCAGTGCGGCGACGAAGCGAAAACGAGACGGTCGCGGCGCCGCAGACAGGGCGCGAGGGAGCTGCTGTGGGACGAGCAACGCGGGGAATCCGCGTAGGACGCGGCAGCCGCCGCGGACGACGAGGCAACGAGAGAGGACGAAGAGGTGGTGGAGCATGAGGTTCGAATAGGCGCCGATCTGGTGCAAGCGGCTACGCGAGGAATGTGGAAAGGCTGATGCGAAACGGCGCGGAGGGCGACGTGGAACCACTTAGCGAGGAAGCAGAGGAGGAAGCGGAGAATGAGGAAAGTGAAGAGAGGGACCCTGCCTTTAACCCTGAAAACGAGGGGATGTTAGAAGCAGAGGCCGAGGAGGACGAGGAAGAGTTGGAGCTGCTGCGGGAAGCGGAGCTCCCAAACCAGCAGGCCAGAGGTGAACCTGCAAACCGAACCTCAGTTCGGAATCGAACCGCGGGGGGAATTCAAGCAAGGAGGGGAAATCGAGCCGCTCCAGAAGAAAGAATTGACTCTGCAACAGCCAATGAAAATTCCGCAGCCCCGAGTCCAACCCCCCCCGATGCTCAAACCTGACGACCTGGCGAAAAACTCTGAGCTATTCGCTCAGGTTGCAGTCTGGGACCTCGACCCGCTGCGTGACAGTCGCCAACCTCCTCTCGCTCGCCACCCCCCCAAAGACCTTCGCGACTCCTTCGCGATCTGTATGTTGACGCCGTTACTCCACCTGGCGGCCAATCCCGAGTCTGCGCCAGGATGGAAACTACTGACCTTTCTCCCGCGCATACTCCTTCGCACCTCGTCAGCCCGTAAACCTGACTGGAGCGCGATGATGAATCGGCTCCTGCGATTTCGCCAAGGGCTCTGGGCGGACCTATACGAAGAAGCTGTCCAGGCGATTTCCTTGCCTCCGCAGCCTCGCCACTCACTCGACACAACTGGAATACTGGCACGGGCGGAAGGTCTGGCAAAACGGGGTAACCTGTCAAAATCACTCCAATCCCTCCAGGCCACCCCTGTGTCACCTGCCTCACCTGAAGTGCTGGAAGCCCTCGCGACGAGACATCCACCTGCCAGCCAGCTTCTCCCTGACTGGCTCCACACCGCCTCGGCTGAAGACCCACCCACTATCGAAGCCCGCGACTTCAGGCGCCTCCTCGCCAAGCTCCCCAACGGAGTCGGGGCCGGCCCCTCAGGAACCACTTTCGAGCATATCCGCGACGCAGCCCTAGGGAATGCCGAAGTACTCTCCCACCTCCTCGCCCTCTCCAACACAGCTCTAGCAGGGAAACTCCCAACAGCCGCGGGGGATCTTCTCACGGCCTCCCGCCTGCTAGCCTTTACGAAACCCCAAGGAGGGACGCGGCCAATAGCGGTGGGGGAGTGTCTCCTCCGGATTATAGCAAAGGCCGCCCTCTTCCTGACCGCGCCAGCCGCCCGTACTCACTTTGCCCCCCTTCAATTCGGCGTGGCAGTAGCAGGGGGGATCGAAGCGGCTATCCACACCGCTCGCACGTACCTGGAAGTGCACCCTGCTGCAGTGGCCTTGCAGATCGACCTCGCGAACGCTTTTAACGCGGTAGAAAGGAGAGCGGTGTTCGAAGGACTGAGAAACGAGGCGCTGAAGAAGCTGATCCCCCTCGTCCGCCTATCCTACGGGGCTCCCTCCTCGCTCTACCTCGACCACGACTTCGGCGCAGCCCCGCTGCAGAGCGCCAGAGGAGTTCGCCAAGGGGACCCGCTCGGCCCCCTCCTGTTCGCGGCAAGCATCCACCCGTGCCTCATTGCCACGGCGGCGGCACACCCTCAGGTGGTCCTGCTGGCGTACGCCGATGACATCACGCTGCTCGGCGACGCCTCGGCCTGCACAGCAGCTTTCGACCACCTCACATCCGCACTTGCCGCCCTCGGCCTGGTACACAACCCGGCCAAATGCGCGGCGTGGTCCGCCGCTCCAATCGACCCCTCTGCAGTGCCCCGGGAATTACTATCTCTGATGAGGGACTGCAGATTCTCGGCAGCCCGGTTGGCACACCCCGGGGGTGCGCGGGCGCCGTGAGAGAGAGACTGGCAGTAGCAGCATCCCCACTCCCCCTGCTGGCCCAGATGGACCCCCAGCTTAGCCTCCTCCTCCTCACCCGCTGTGTCAGCCGCCGAGCCTCTTTTCTGGCCAGAACCACCCCCCTGGAAGCTCTCCCTGAAGCGGAATGGTCAGCTTGGGGGGAGCAGCTCCTACACACCTTCCTGGACTCGGCCCACATCATGAGACCGAGGAGTGCCCGGGAGAGGCGGAGGATTTGGCGGCAGGCGGCCCTGCCCGTGACTCTGGGAGGCCTGGGCATCACTGACCCCGCCGTTGAAGGCAGCTACGCTTACCTCGCTTCAGTGATCAGCGCCGCCCACCTTCTATACTCCCTGGAGGAGTCGTTACACCCTGCTGTCGCCGCGCTCCTCCCCCTACTGGACCCTACCCACGGCTCCCCGCACGCGCTGCCTGCACGCCTCGCCGCGGCTGAGGCAGCTCTCCCACCTGAGGCTCTCGAGGTGCTCCAGGCCGGGAAGACAGACCCCAAGGGACTGAAGCTGCAGCAGAGCCTAGCGCTGGCGGTTCACTCCCGCCGCTTCTTGAGGGCCATGCGCGAGGCAAGGCGGATGCGCCCCAACCCCCTTTCAGGCCATGCGCAACGGATGCAGTCGGTGCTAGGCCCAGGAGCGGGGGATTGGCTGCTGGCGATCCCGCTCATCCCCTCGCTCCGAATGGGCCCCTCCCAGCTCTCAACTGCAGCTGCCTTCCGCCTAGGCCTCCCCCTCCCAGTGCCTAGACGCTGTGACTGCCGCTACCGCACCACCTTCCCCGACGACCGCCTCCCCAACCACCTCATGCGCTGCGAGAAGGGGAAAGGGAGGACCGCTACCCATCACGCTCTGCGGGATGAGATAGCAAATATCGGGGCTGAGGCGGGTTTTACGGTTCATAAGGAGACGTATGTCTACTCACTGGTTGAAAACCTAAAGGCGGATGTCACCATCCGTCATCCACTGACCGGGGAGGTTTGGATGTGCGACGTGACCGTGACGGACCCGATGTCATACCAGGACGAGAACTGCAACCGAGCTCCTGGTTGGGCAGCTAGGGCGGCAGCGGCAAAAAAGGAGGAGAAGTACGCACGGCGGAACACGTGGGTGGGGTTCCACGCGCTCGCAGTGGAAACATACGGCTACCCCTCGCCGGGGGTGCTGGCTTACCTGCAGCAATGCGCGGAGCTGGCGGCAAAGCTGCGGTTTAACGCAGCCCCTACCTCCTACGAAGCAGCGAAGCTTCTGACGGAGTACCGCCAGCGTTGGAGCGTGTGCCTCCAGCGGGCACAGGCCAACGCCCTCCGCACCAAGACCAATGAGGCCTTGGCGGCGGACGAGCTCGGTTTTAGAGGACCCATCATCCCTCTCAGTGAGGGACAGCTGCACCAGTTGATTGAGGCCCCGTTCGACCAGTAGGGTCGGACAGGGGGGGGGGCAGAGTAGGTAGGGGACTTGGAATAGTTAGGATGCCGGTTTTCTGTTAAGCTTGTGCTTGTGTGTTTTGCACCTTCCGTTGTACCACCCCCCAAAGAAATGCAAGGACCATTCGAGAGAGAGAGAGAGAGAGTGGGTTGATGACTGCAAGCCGGTTTTTGAGAATTCTCAAAAACCAGAAAGAATGGAGAGAGAGAGATTGGGGTGATGACTGCAAGCCGGTTTTTGAGAATTCTCAAAAACCAGAAAGAATGGAGAGAGAGAGAGATTGGGGTGATGACTGCAAGCCGGTTTTTGAGAATTCTCAAAAACCAGAAAGAATGGAGAGAGAGAGATTGGGGTGATGACTGCAAGCCGGTTTTTGAGAATTCTCAAAAACCAGAAAGAATGGAGAGAGAGAGATAGGGGACGATGCTTTGGACATGGAGGAGATGGAGGATGAAATGGAAGAGGAAGTAATAAGGTTCCTGATTAGCTGGAGGAGAGAATCACAACCCGATTTCCCTGCTTTTTCCCCTCTGTTTACCTCCTCCTCTCTCTGTATTCCTGTTCAGGCTGGTTTAATCAGCGAGATGCTGGAAGAGGCCGTAGACGATGCTCTAGACACCGAGGAGATGGAGGATGAAATGGAAGAGGAAGTAAACAAGGTTCTTGATGAACTGGCGACGGAAGCTACTGCGCAGCTTCCCACGGCGGTGCGGCAAAAGCAGCGGGCGGCAGAGGCAGCAGGGGTGGAGGAGGAGGAAGAGAGGGTGCCTCAGATGGAGATGGGGTTGGGAGCGGACGATGAGGCGGAATTGGCTCGGCTTAAAGCCAAGTACAAGTGAAGTGGTGCTGGTGGTGGTGGCGGTGGTGTTTGGTGGGAGCAGCAGCAGCAGTAGAAGCAGTAGCAGCAGGAAAAAAACTTAAGTTGCAGTAGGTGAGGAGGAAGAGAAATTTAAGATGCCTCAAAACTATTGGTATCAGTAGCAGCATTTGTAACAGTAATGGCGTGAGGGGGATAGGAAGAGAAGGAAGATATGCTTTAGGTAGTCACTGGGGCAGGGGAGACGCAGGGGAAACATTACTGGTTGGAACAGTAGCAGCAGCAGACGCCACAGCAATGGCATGCAGAGGTGAAAATGGGAGCAATAAAGCGGCCAATGAATGGTCAATGGCTTAGGTGGAAGTTGCTGGAGAAGCTGTGGTGGCTGAAACTGGTAGCAAATTATTTGTTTGCTGGCATTTTACTGGCAGGCCATTGTGAAGCCGATTGTTGGGGGTAGATTGTCTTGTAATGATTTTTTTCGTAAGTGTGTACCACTTTCTAAAAATGCGTATTGTGAAAGTGCAGCTGACTGTAGTGCAGCAACGCAACTGCGTATAAGAGGGTTGGAGGCCATTCGGCCTCCACCCACGTCTTCACTTTGGAACTTCGCAGTTCCACTCCCCACCCACCCACCCTGATCATGTGCATGTATGATTTACAGTTGGACGAAAATGCTGTAATAACTGCATTTCTAATGAAGCACGTTGCCATTGCAAGAACAGAAAGCAAGCTTTCTCAATATTGTAGTACAATGTCAATTACAATATCAAAGGTCAACAAGAATTCTCCACTCATCTCAACGTATCAATCTCCAATGCTTGCACCTGTTGGAATCAACTGACCACCCACACCAACAAACACATCACCAGTCGTTCCCAGTCCTGCAAATGGGAAAGATGAACCTACCCCATTTGTTGCGGCGGTAGTGGAGACACTAGACCCGACATACACAGTGGGGAGTGTGGGGTTAGTTGCACTTTGTTGGGACATTGAATTGCCCTGAAAGCTTGAAGCATAACCCATGCCATCTCCCACTCTGCTTCTCTGACTGTTTGTAACTCCCAGGTTGTTGATGCTCCCAGCATTGGCGTCCTGCTCAAAGAATGTGGCTCCTGACCCTCCAAGAACCTGCTTCCTGGAGGCCAGTGCCCGCAACGGAAACAGCTGGCCCAGCAAAGAAAACGCAAGACCAATGTTATCCACTGCTTCAGTGTTTCTGATACCAGTATCAGAGCCGTCATTCTGATAACCAGTTCCAAAATGTGGTTCATAAAGTCGCTGGTTTATTGAAATCGATGACCATAAGTGGGTCAGGCGCTTCCAAGGATGCCGTGAACGCTGTTGAAGCGTCTGCAAATAGAGAGGAGCCAGTTAGAATGGGGAATCTCAGAAAACACATCTTGAAACACTCTCAGACAAGATATCAGTCCACCCATCCACTGTCCCGCCATCCACTTACTGCACCCAGTGACCCGGATTGCACTCTGTGGCTGGCAGCATCAGTTTCTTCAACACGAAGATTTACGTTGGTAGCAGCCAGCTCTCCGGCAAAGGCTTTGAAGTGGGGTAAGGACCCGGGTACTGAAGCACTTTGATGGCAATTCGCATCTGGTTTGATGTCTCGGGGAACATCACGAGATGGCAAGCTCCGTGCATGCACGCTCACAGAGAGACTGCGAAATGTTACGGAAGGTGGGAAGAAAGTATTGAACCACAATAAGAAATCGCAGCGAGAAAAGTTTTAAAGATGGCGTAAAAATGCGCTGCCGTCAAACAACAGAACGGACTGAGAACGTACTGAAGAATGATCAGGATGATTTGAAGAGCTGCCGCGCAGCTCAAGAACGATGGAGCCATTCGGAGGAATCAGACGACGCACGTCGGAATAAAGACGAGGCTCGACAACTGAAAATAAAGAAAGCTGGTGTGTATGAAGACTGAGCCAGTGAACTCCGTATAAAAAGGCCAACAGCAAGCGGCAAGGAGGCGTTACGCCACGTCGTTTCCGAGTCATGAGTCTTGGATAAGGAGGGCGAGTGGAAGCTAAGATTAGCACAAGCTTCTTTTTTTTTTTTTTCGTGGGAAACGCCGCGAGCCAGCGCACAGGCTCCTTGAATCCATCCGAGGATGCTAATCTTGCTGATTCCAAGAAAGATGCGCGTCGTTCAAGGCACCGTGATTACAAAACGTGAGACCCGTGTAACTTGCTGTTTGGCATCTTGAGTGGATAGCACAACACCAAAATGAACGCTGACCAGATTCAACAGCCATGGATGACTGGTGACAGGAAGAACGATAAATTCGAGGGTATGCGTCCGTGAAGGATGATGATGAGTCAAGGATGATGAGATATTTGGCATTATTCACCTTCCTGCGGTTGAGGGCGTTTCCTCACCTGATAAACGGTTTTCCTTAGCTTTCAGCTCGGTTGATGGATGATGGATAGCCGAGGTCAAGCAAGCTCAGGGCGCGTAACGTGAACAGCCTATCTTTCAACAACCATCATGGCCAGCCAGCGAAATGTTACCAATGTTTTTGTGTCGCGGAAGGTTGGGAGAGATGTCGTGAACGCCACCTTCGTACGGTTCAAAGCATTTCTGTGCGCTTGATAGCGGCTATCAGAAATCTAGAGTGGTTTAGTAGGGTGAAGCCATCACGAACTCACAAAGCACACCGCAAATACATTCACTCCACCATTATCCATGGATCTCGCCGAAGCGTGAAAAAACGCATCTGTCGGTGAAGCTAGACTCTTGTATCCTCCCCTCCCAACGTCATCGCACTATCATTTAGCATCTTCCTCCCACTTCTCTCCATCTCTTTCTCGCTCACGCCTTTCCGCGTTCGGGGTATCTTGGTACAACTTATCCGCATTCCACGCTTCCCCACGTGCTGCGCATCACATGCATAACGGATCGGCCCAGCGCATACTAGCAAATCGCTTGGAGGTGGCGCAATTTACGCGTCATCTCTCCTCGCGGAGTCAGGAAACCAGAGCGCATCCTCAAACCTACACCTTTCTGAGCATTTGTTCCTACGGAGCTGACGCAACACGCCCGACAGACAGCCATGTCACCAATAAACGCTGTTTCTGACGTGGCGTTTCTGACGCTACGCGACGTCGTGATCTCCCTCCTCCGCTGCTTCTGGGCAATAATCGCTCTCCCAGTCATCCTCGCGCTCCTGCCTCTCCCCGTGCTTACTCCCCTCCGCCATCTCATGCGGATTCTGGCCGGTCGAGGAATCACCCAAAGCGGCTCTTCGAGCAAACCCGTGAAATCCCCCGCGTCGTCGAGATTTGCTTATCTGCGGGTGAGTTGAGTTAGTTTTAGCTTCCAGTCGTCTCAAAACTCCAAGTCTAGCCGGACGAGGAATCACCCAAAGCGGTCCTACCAGTAAACACGGAACGTCTCCTGGCGTCACCGATATTCGCCTCTCTGCGTATGAGTTGTATTGGTTCTAAGTCGCCTCAAAGCTCAAAGTCCTGCTGGGCGTGGAATCACCCAAAGCGGTCCTGCCCTCCATCTCCCATTCCCTTGCTTCCTCCCTCTCCACGTCGCCTTTCTCCTTCTTCTATATTGAAGTCCCTTATGAAATTTCTCAAAAGTGACTTCGAGGAATCACCCAAAGCGGTCCTACCCTCCATTTCCCAATCCCTTGCTTCCTCCCTCTCCCGTCGCCTTTCTCCTTCTTCTCTCCTTCTTCCCAAACCATCCCTGCCAGCACATGACCTTTTTCCATCGCTACTTCTCCCACTTTTACATCCCCGGATTCGCCTTCAACCTTTCACTCCTCATTCTCACCCTCACTGGCCCCTCTCCTTCTCCCTCTCCTTGTTCTCCTAGTTGTCCAAAACTACCCCTACCAGCACATGACCGTTCCCCATCGCTGCTTCTCCCACTTCTACGTCGTCGAATTCGCCTTTAACCTTCTGCTCCTCACCCTCGCCCTCACTGCTCCCTCTTCTTCCCCCCCCTCTTTTTCCCCACCCGCTGCCAGCACATGACGGTGCCTCACCGCTGGTTCTCCCATTTCTACATTGTCAAACTCTCCGTCAACCTTGCACTCCTCGCCCTCGCTCTCACTGCTCACTGCTCCATCCCTCCCTCTTCCCCACCACCCCCTGACAGCACATGACGGTGCCTCACTGCTGGTTCTCCCATTTCTACATTGTCGGATTCGCCCTCGCCCTCACTGCTCCCTCTTCTTCCCCCCCTCTTTTTCCCCACCCCCTACCAGCACATGACCGTTCCCCATCGCTGCTTCTCCCATTTCTACATTGTCGGACTTTCCTTCAACCTTGCACTCCTCGCTCCCATTCTCTCCCCCCTCTCCCTCTCCCTTTCCTTCTCCTTTTTCGCTCCCCCTTCTTGCCCAAACCATTCCTGCCAGCACATGACCGTTCCCCATCGCTGCTTCTCTCATTTCTACATGGTCGGATTCGCCTTCAACCTTGCACTCCTCATTCTCGCCCTCTCTGCTCCCTCGCATGTAACCGCATTCCTCAACACTGAACTTCGTATAAGCTTCAGTGCTCTCAGCAGCAGCAGCGGTAACAGCAGCTATAACAGCAGCAGTGAAAGCATCGCTACAAGCACACCTGGCACCACCACCACACCCACCAGCAGCGTTCAAGCATTGCAGCTTCTGCTGCACCGAGCACCTGTTCACTCGCTCCTCTTCCATCTGCATCTCGCCAGACGGCTATGGGAGTCTACAACCCTCTCTGTCTCCCCAACATCGTCTCACATGCACGTCTCAGCCTACCTCCTCGGCCTCTGGTGAGTGCTGTGTGCACGTGGCTCGTCTCGTCATACCTCATTGGCCTATGGTGAGTGACTGTCTATTTCTCCCTTCTGATCGTATGTTTTTTGAGAATTCGCAAAAAACATACGCTAAAAAACATTTTGAGAATTCTCAAAAAACATACTATGGTGAGTGACTGTCTAATACTCCCTTCTGATCGGCTATGGGAGTCTACAACCCTCTCTGTCTCCCCACCGTCGTCTCACATGCACGTCTGTGCCTACCTCCTCGGCCTCTGGTGAGTGGAATGTGGGCGGTATGCGAGTTTCAGTGGACAGGGAAAGACCGGCAGCATCATATCCGCGTTATAGAAGAGAATGCACTTTGCCAGACTGCTGCGGGTGGGTGGGAGGAGTCCATAGTCGAAACGAAACTGCGTCTGCTGCTGCACTGAGTGCCTTTTGAGTCGACTCAAAAGTCACTGAGTGCCTGTCCACTCGCTCCTCTTCCATCTGCATCTCTCCAGGCGGCTGTGGGAGTCCACTGCCCTTTCCCCCTCCCTCCCCAACATCGTCTCACATGCATGTCTCTGCCTACCTCACATGCATGTCTCTGCCTACCTCACATGCATGTCTCTGCCTACCTCACATGCATGTCTCTGCCTACCTCACATGCATGTCTCTGCCTACCTCACATGCATGTCTCTGCCTACCTCACATGCATGTCTCTGCCTACCTCCTCCTCCCCATCCCACCACCATCCCCTCCCCCCCTTTCCCAACCCGACCACCAGCTAGCACATTGCTGCTCCACTCTCTTTCTTCCTCGCCAGTTCCCTTTTCTTTCATCGCCATCACTATTTCCCCGCTTACTCCCCCCCCTCTCTCCCTCCTCCCTACAACCAGCTTGTACATCGCTGCTCCTCTCCCCCCGCCCCTCTCCCCCCGCCCCTCTCCCCCCCGCCCCCCTCCCCCCGCCCCTCTCCCCCCGCCCCTCTCCCCCCGCCCCTCTCCGCCCGCCCCTCTCCCCCCGCCCCTCTCCCCCCGCCCCTCCCCCCCCTCCCCCTCCCTCCTCCCTACCACCAGCTACTACATCGCTGCCCCGCTCTCCTTCTTCCTTGCTGCCCGTCCTGCTCTGCCCTCCTCTGCTGCTCCACCATGCCTCTCCAATACCAGCTACTAAGCCGCTGCTCCTCCCCCCCCGCCCCTCTCCCCCCGCCCCTCCCCCCCCCTCCCCCTCCCTCCTCCCTACCACCAGCTACTACATCGCTGCCCCGCTCTCCTTCTTCCTTGCTGCCCGTCCTGCTCTGCCCTGCCCCTAGTTCTTTCATAACCACATCGCCCACCCCCTTCTTGAGGCGCCTCAAAATCGCGTGAACTGAGACGATTCTTGAGGCGCCTCAAAATCGCGTGAACTGAGATGATTCTTGAGGCGCCTCAAAATCGCGTGAACTGAGACGATTCTTGAGGCGCCTCAAAAACAGTCCTGCCCTGCCCCTAGTTCTTTCATGACCACATCGCCCACCCCCTTCCCCCCTCTCCTCCTCTCCCTCTCCCCGCCCACCAGCTACTACATTGCTGCGCCACTCTCCTTCTTCCTTGCTGGCCGTCCTGCTCTGCCCTGCCCCCCAACCTGCCTTCCCCATCACCATCACCTCCCATCCCCACCCATCCCCTTTCCTCCACCCACTCCAACCCCCGCTTTACTCCCCCCCACCCCACACCACCACCAGCTAATACATAGCTGCTCCGCTCTCCTTCTTCCTTGCTGCTCGTCCAGTCTCGCCCTCCGACCCGTTCCAGTCATCACCATCATTATCACCGTCCTTTACTCCTGAGACGTCTCAAAAGTCCTCCGACCCGTTCCAGTCACCATCATTATCACCTTCCCTTACAACCCCCCCCACCCCACCCCACCCCACCAGCTACTACATAGCTGCTCCGCTCTCCTTCTTCCTTGCTGGCCATCCAGTCACACCTTCTGAACCGTTCTCCACCACTGGTGCTGATGTCATAAGCATAGCATGCCATCTTGTTGGAGCAGCAGTGTTCGCGTGGGGCAACCTGCACCAGCACCGCTGCCATGCGATTCTGGTAAGCTACACAGTTAGGAGCAAAGCATTCAGTGCTGATATGTCTACACTGAGGTGCCTCAAGGCCCGGTGGAGTGTGTCCGGTGGAGTGTGTCCGGTGGAGTGTGTCCGGTGGAGTGTGTCCGGTGGAGTGTGTTTGCGTGGGGCTATCTTCGCCAGCACCGTTGCCATGCCATCCTGGTGATAGTTACAGTTCGAGGCAAAGCATTCAGTGTTTGTATGTGTATGCTGCGGGTACCTCACGGTTGTTCTCAACTTTGAGGCGCCTCAAAAGACAGTTCGAGGCAAAGCATTCAGTGCTTGCATGTGTATGCTGCGGGCGCCTCACAGTTGTTCCCGACTTTTGAGGCGCCTCAAAAGACAGTTCGAGGCAAAGCATTCAGTGGTTGTATGTGTATGCTGCGGGCACCTCGCGGTTGTTCCCGTGGGGTAATCTTCACCAGCCCCGTTGCCATGCCATCTTGGTGAGCGCCACAACCGCACTGCACCACTACCAAGTGCTTTTAAAGCGCCGTCAAGTGCTTCAAACTCCAATGAATATTTTTTTGCATGTCCCTGCAAAATATCTCTGGTATCGTACCCATGGAAATGCCAGAGCCCCTTTGTGGCTCAACGAGGCAGGTTCACGCATTATCATGCCCACACTCGTTCCCATGCCTCCCTACTCTCTCCCCCCTTCCCTTCCTTTCCCTCCTCTCTCCCTCTTCACTCGTCCAGGCCAGTTTGAGGCAAGGGGGTAAGAAGGGCTACTTCATCCCTCAAGGGGACTGGTTCACTCACGTCTCTTGCCCACACTACTTAGCAGAGATTGTAAGTATTTCTAATACTGGTGATAACCAGTAAGCGCTCAAAGAAACTGCAATGCCTGTAACTGTTCATCAAAGCTGATACAGTCTGTACAGTCAGCCTTTGCTGATGTTGTCGTTTCTTACACATGAGGTATACATAGGCTTAGTCTTGTAACTTTGATGACAAGTGAAACAAGTCAGCGTCAATAATGTCCTCTCTCTCGCTCTCGCTCTCGCTCCTCTCTCTCTCTCTCCCACAACAACCAGGTGATATACTTGGGTTTACTCCTATCACTTGGATCCAGGATACTTGACTCAACATTGCTGCTCATGTTTGCGTGGGTGGTAAGTACAAATTGTTCTTACACACTTGGGTGTAGACGAAATTGCTGTGCTCTCTCCGTGTTCTGATGGCTTTGTATGCACCACACTCCATGCTGTTGCTCATCTTTGCATGGGTGCTATGTGTATCGGTAGTTTTTCTTCATGTTTGGTATGGTATGCTGACATGCCGACCCCATTTTACCTTGTAGTGGGCACGCACAGCAGCACACTTCTGCTCATGGATTCACATTGTGTGGGTGTCTGGTCTGGTTGTCCCTCTGCTGCTCCTCTTCCCCTTGTTTCCATCTCATTTGTATCCTCTGACTTATCTCTCAAACGTTCGGCATGTTGTCCTGCAGGTTTCCAACTTGACTTTATCTGCATTAGAAACCCATGAACGCTATATCGCAAAATTCCCTGACTATCCGCAGCTCAGAAGGGCTATATTGCCATGTATATTATAGCTAAGGCACATTATACCGGTAGATTCAAAAGTGGTTTCGCCTGTTTGTAGCGGGTGCCTTGTAGCTGCAAAACTTGCCATGTTGGAAGGTATTTCAGAACATGAAGTACACAGTATCATGGCAGATGCAGGACAGGAGAAATTCAAACCAGTTGGCATATTCATTACAATTGCAACAAGTTAACAAGCACTATTGACATCTGAGTCCTAACTAGGACAGAAACAAGTGGATACGCAGGAGGACGATGGATGAAGACTGATATGGAAGCAGGTGGAATGGAGTATGACTGATGGCGAGAGGTGACGCGACGAGAACGTGACTGACATGCCTAATACAGTCTTTCCCGGCTTTAGTATTGAGAAATCTTAGCCCTAATTGCAAGGCTAACTCATCTCTGCTCCATCTTCCTGAGCAGTCAATCCACACAAGGTCTTGAGAGAAGATGGCCCAACCGTCTCCTCATTACAATGACTTGTGATACACGGTGGTGCTTTGTTACCCGCCAGCCAGCAATCCGATCAGTGGTGGTGGCCGGGAATACCTCCTGGACCAACGACCTTCAGCTGCAGGCAATGAAGAGAAATAGGGTAACAAGAGAGAATAACAGGTTACGGTATTAGCACTTCTCACAATGGCGATGCCGACCAAAGAATCAGATGGGATGGTCTGGGAACACGACGTCAATGGTGTTATAAGAGGAAAAAATCCAGAAAGAAAAGACGGGACAGAATGGAGCTTGAAGGCGTTGTGCGAATAATGCAAACAAAACTGTTCCTGCCACCATTATCACCTTAAAGACTTGACCGCAGACGCTGCAGGAGTGGTTGGAGTCCTTTGCCAGCTTGAACCACACGACATCATGCTCCTCCTCTGCTCAAGGTTAGAAGAGGAATCGTGAAGATGAAAGCGAATGGAGAATGGAGAATGGTGAAGGAATCGTGCTCGTGCTCGTCCGCTATGACAGACGCAATATATTGCGGAACGACTAAGTTCTTTTATGAGCCTGACCCAGCCTACATCATGCCGGGCTTTGGTAGACGGTCGGGTTACGGGACCACTGTCAGGGAAACTGTCTGAGACATGGACCGAGAAACGGGGTTGAACAAGAAACACGATAGATTTTGGCCCCTCAAAAGGACGTCACTCGAAGAATCACTCACCGCCAACCCCGCCAGAGCAGCCAACGAGACGCTCGTCGAACTGAGCCTCCACAATCGCAGGAGCATCCTGAGCACATTTGAAAGGTGGATAAAAAAGCATGACAGAGACGAAAATAACAAAAATCAGAACATTATGAGATCAAAAAAGATAATGACTCCGATGACATGCCGTGCAAAAGAAACACGCAAGGGTGACTGCGCAAGCGACGCGCAAATTCCATCGGACTCTCAAGGTCCAATGCCTCGAGGTTTGGTGAGAGGTAGTGTGTACAGCAGCAAGGAAGACAGACCAGCCATGAAGGAAAATGTTGAACCATTGTGTGTCTTTCAGCAAACCATTGAAATGGCGAAAAACGACACATTTTTACAGGTTCACACAAGGTACCTCTGTTCCGAAGGGACCGCGAGGAGGCTCCAGCTCGAAGCGCTCCTTTCCCTGCAGTAGAGAAAGCAGACCAGAACCGGCTTGCAAACGGTTAACAAAACGCTCGCAATGATACGTGGCAGAGAGAGAATGAAAAAAAAAAGCCTACGAGACTGAAGTTGGCCCGATCTAAAATCAAGAAGCCTTATTCCCCATGGAAAAAAAAATGACGTAACCCAGAAATGTAACGCAATACAACTTCGCCGTGTCTAATCAGCCTGACTCTACCTCCAGCTCCGCAGTTCCTCCCTCTCAAAAAATGATGTTTTTACAAAGGATCGAAGTGTCTAATTATTATTGTAGAAAAAGGCGTACCTCCAGCTCAGCAGCCAGCTCCTCCCTCTCGAGTCCAGTAGCATGCTCCAGATCATCAGAAACGTCCTTCGTGGCCACTGCATTATGTAGATTAAAGGAATAATAGATATTAGGTCGAAATCTACATATTAATCTAGACGTAGCTCATCGTAACCTTTAAACACCGAACCCAAAATATCTACACTAAAGAAAGTATCTCATTATCTAACTTGTCTCTGTTTTTTTCCGATCCTAACCCTAACCTGCGGGGGAGGCTGCGCGGAGGGCGAAGGGGGTCTGGGAGAGCCATCCGCTGTGAACGAGCCTGTCTGTAACGCTCCGGCCCGCACCAGCCGGCGCACTCTCTGCAACGAGGCTATTCCATGCGGGGAGCGCGGCGGAGCGGCTGCGCTGAAGCGATTGGCGCGCAACCAGCGACAGGCGAGCGCCGGCTTGCCTCCACATGGTTATGAATTTGTGCTAAGGAGAAGGAGATGGGTGCTAAGGTATGCTACGCTTAATGCAAGCCCTGAGCGTGTGTAAGAGCACGCACGCGAAGAAGGAGCTGGATAACGATGATCCAGAAGCCCGTGCAAGCTTCAAGAAAGGCCTAGCCTTCAAGAAACAGGAACCTAGAAGCTCTGTAGGTAGCTAGAGGGGTAGAAGCAGAAAGTGGGGGTTTGTTGGGATGAAGTGTGGATGTGAAGCTGGAAAAAAAAGGGAGCAATTAGTTACCGTACGGATTCTCGCGGTTCAAAACCTTACCTTGCGTTTCAGAGCGGTGATTTTTCAATAACCAAATGTACCTCCGTGCACCGCATCAGACCGACAGATTATATTGTAGCCGATCATGTGTGCTATGATTTGAGGGGATAGATCAGAGGGAAATTCTGTGGCGGGGGGATGAGGGTGATGGAAGAAAGGGGGAAACAGGGAGACGATCTGAAGGGGGAAGAAGTGTGGAGGAACGCGCTTGCTAGGGCGGAGGGGGAGAAAGGGGGGGCTCTCTTCGTTATTGACATGCTTCGGGAATCTTGTTATTGGATTTGGGGCTCGAAATTTGTGCCCGCTGCGTGTAGCGAGTGAGCCAAAATGCAAGCTTGTGTGGCATTTTTTCGGCAAATAGGAATCGACTCCAGTGGTTTCGGAGGATTTTGGAAGCTCTTGACCAATGGTGGTGGGCAAAGTGGCAACCAGTGCACTGCAAGCCACATGCGAGCTCGTGCCTGGCTGTGCTTTTACATGCTGATCCGCTCTAACCAGCTCCTATACGCAGTGCGTTGTGTACACCGCAAAAAACATCTGCTATAAAGTTGAACTAGAAGCTGAAGATCTTGAATACGTGGCCAAGCCATCCAGAGGCCAACACGCGTCAGCCCTAGAACCACGAGGAGATTCCACCAGGGAAAGTGACGAGTGGATGGTAATGAAACACGGCAACTTCGAGGTCATACCACAGTCCCTTTCACCACTCGCAATCGCGTTTTAAAGTGTTCCACCACTCTATACCCACTCTGGATTAGGTTTGCAGATGCTGGAATTCCAAACATCAGGAATTCGGCAGCGGGGATAGTTAGTCGATCGAGACTCTTTGAATGCATCAGCAATCTAGGGAGAGCAGGCAAGTTCATGTTTCAGCAGCTTGTCAGACTGGCATTACTGCTTCAAATTTTCTGATTGCTTCACGTCTCGTCCTTGCTTCACTTGCAAGCAATAATGGCCGCCGTTCGCGCCGCCTGCTCGGCTGCTCAAACAGCAGCCATAAGTTCATGCAATGCGATAAACCGTCACCTGTCGAGGCCACTAAGCACCGCAGCCACGTCAGCACGAGCCTCTCTCGTTGCGCGTTCTCCGCCATTGCGCAGCGCAGTCGCCTTCGTGCAGGTGCCACGTCAGCCACGTCGCGAGTCACATTGCATACGTGTCGTCCGTGCGAGCAGCACTGGAAGCTCCGACAATTCGACCAATGACGCGAGCTCGGAAGGCTCCGGCTTTTTCGGATGGCTGAAGCTGCCGAATCTGGACGGATTGTTCGGAAAGAAGGGAGAGACGGAGGTGAAGACGAGTTCGGAGATTGAGAGCGAGGGAGCTTTGGAAGAGAATGTGATAGCGCCGGAGCCCGAAGTGGTCAGGGAAGGTCAGTTAGTAGGCTCATAGGGAAGAAACAAGAGTGAGCAGAGCATTCAAGGGGTGAAGACGAGATTGGAGGCAGAGAGTGAGGGAGCTTCGGAAGAGGACGTCACCGAAGCGGAGCCTGAAGTGGTCAAGGAAGGTCAGTTAGTATGCTCATACGGAAGAAAACAAGAGTGAGTATGTAAGGGTTGAAGACGAGTTCGGAGATCGAGAGCGAGGGAGGGAGCTTTGGAAGAGAATGTGACAGAGCCGGAGCCAGAAGTGGTCAAGGAAGGTCAGTTGATGGTCTTATAAGGGTGTGCTTAAAGGAAGAAACATGCATAGTCATATAGGGGGGGTGGGGAGGCATGTGTGGTGCACTCCCTCTCTCACTCCCTCACACTCGCAATTTGCCCAAACCTTCCTCTCTAACTCACTCACTTCCTCTCTTACTCCTGTCACTTCACTTCTTCCCTCACCGTCCCTTCCCTCCTCCCAGAGCCCCCCGAGGAGCTGGACGTGGTGATCATCGGAGCATGGCTGGCGGGGCTGCGGGCAGCGGTGGAGCTGGAAGGGCTCTCTTACCCGCGCCCTCTCCTACTCACTCTCTCCCTCTTTCCCTCTCCTTCCATTCCACACCCACAGAGCCCCAGAGGAGCTGGACGTGGTGATCATTGGAGCGGGGCTGGCAGGGCTGCGGGCAGCAGTGGCGCTGCAAGAAGCAGGGGTGGCGTGTGTGGTTCTGGAGGCTTCAGACGGGCGTCCACCCTTGCACTCCCTCTCTCACTACCACTCTCACTTGCCCTCTCCGTTCCACACCCGCAGAGCCCCCCGAGGAGCTGGAAGTGGTGATCATCGGAGCAGGGCTGGCAGGGCTGCGAGCAGCAGTGGCACTACAAGACGCGGGAGCGGCGTGTGTGGTGCTGGAGGCGGCAGAAGTTGACCGTTGCAATCCTTCTCTCACTCTCACTTCCTCCCCCACCCTCCATCCCACACCCACAGAGCCCCCCGAGGAGCTGGACGTGGTGATCATCGGAGCGGGACTCGCAGGGCTGCGGGCAGCGTTAGCACTGCAGGAGGCGGGGGTGGAGTGTGTGGTTTTGGAGGCGTCAGACGGGGTGGGAGGGCGCGTGCGCACAGATGAAGTGGACGGGTTTCTGCTTGATAGAGGCTTCCAGATCTTCCTCTCAGGTACGACTGTCCACACTCCCTGTGGTGCCGGGTCTGGGCAGCAGCAGCAGCAGCAGCACCACCACCACCACCACCACCAGCACCACCACCACCACCAGCAGCAGCACCGTCAGCGTGTGTGGTGCTGCTGGAGGGTTCAGACGGCGTAGGCGGGCGCGTGCACACTGATAAATTGGCCGGGTTTCTCCTCGACCGGGGCTTCCAGATCTTCCTCTCAGCTAGAGCGTTTGATTCCATACCCTCAGGTAGAAGAAGCAGCAGCAGCGAGCATCAGCACTGCTGGAGGCTTCAGACGGGGTGGGAGGGCAGGGCGGACGGCGTCCTCCAAGTGAAGCTGACCGCGGCTTCCTCCAAGTGAAGCTGACCGCGGCTTCCAGATCTTCCTCTCAGGTAGGTAGGAGGGTACCTCTCCCATGTATGACCGCTGAATTTCAGGTATGAATGCTGCTGACCGGGTGGGGTGGGAGGGCCCGTGCGTACGGATGAAGTGGACGGGCTTCTGTCTGTAGGGGGGGGGTTCACTCAGTCCGCGGCTTCCTGGTACTCAACCACCACAGCTCCTGCTCCTCCCATCCCTTACACCGTCATCCCTCCTCCCTCCACACCCACTCCCCCTCCCCTCTCCCAGCGTACCCCGAGGCACACAGCAGGTGATGGATTACGAGGCGTTGGACCTCAGGCCCTTCTAATCAGGCGCTCCCAGTTTTCCCTTTCCCTTCCTTCTGCCGCATTCCCCGCCCACCCCTCCTCCCTCCTACCCACTCCAGCCTACCCCGAGGCACAGCAGGTGATGGACTACGAGGCGCTGGAGCTCAGGCCCTTCTACTCGGGCCCTCCCATGGCCACCCCATTCCTCCATCACCGCCCTTTCTCTCTCGTCCTTACTCCCTCCCCATCACCGCCCTCCCACTACCTTCCATCTCATCCCTCCCCCTCCCCCAGCCTACCCCGAGGCACAGCAGGTGATGGATACGAGGCGCTGGACCTCAGACCCTTCTGCTCAGGCGCTCCCTGTTTCCCGTCTCTTCCCGCTTCCCTTCCCTTCACCGTCATCCCTCTCCCATCCTTCTATCATGTTCCCATCCTCCCTCCCCCTCCCCCAGCCTACCCCAAGGCACAGCAGGTGATGGACTACGAGGCATTGGACCTCAGGCCCTTCTACTCGGGCACTAAGCATTCCTCTCCCCTCCCTTCACCATCCTCCCTCTCGCTTCCTTCAATCTCATCCCTCCACCCCTCCACCCATCCACGCCCAACCCCCCTTCCCTTCCCTCCAGCCTACCCCGAGGCACAGCAGGTGATGGACTACGAGGCATTGGACCTCAGGCCCTTCTACTCGGGCACTAAGCATTCCTCTCCCCTCCCTTCACCATCCTCCCTCTCGCTTCCTTCAATCTCATCCCTCCACCCCTCCACCCATCCACGCCCAACCCCCCTTCCCTTCCCTCCAGCCTACCCCGAGGCACAGCAGGTGATGGACTACGAGGCATTGGACCTCAGGCCCTTCTACTCGGGCACTAAGCATTCCTCTCCCCTCCCTTCACCATCCTCCCTCTCGCTTCCTTCAATCTCATCCCTCCACCCCTCCACCCATCCACGCCCAACCCCCCTTCCCTTCCCTCCAGCCTACCCCGAGGCACAGCAGGTGATGGATTACGAGGCATTGGACCTCAGGCCCTTCTACTCGGGCGCTCTCGTGTGGTTTGGAGGCTCCTTCCACAGGTGAGGCTGCTTCGGATGATTCAGGGGCAAGAGTTGCCACGGGTGAGGCTCCTGAGGGTGATTCGAATAGTAGAGCATTCACAGGTGGGCCTGGTTGCAGGCAAATGGGGGAGCTAATGGGGGTCATCTTAACGCAAAAGAGGGTTACAGGTGAATTTTGACTTCGATTCTCAGTGGATCTAAAGTGATGAAGAGGGGATCTCATGCCCGCGTACTTGGTTTCTGAGACTAAAAAAAAAAACAGCTGCTATTTTGTTTCTTTAGAGGCTGTTTCCACACGTGGAAAATGCTAATCCACTATTCAAAATTCAGAATCCACATTCCAAAGCTTTCACCTATCGGAGGGCAACCGATCCCTTTCTGCCGACCCATGCCCGACATGGCCCCTCATGCACCCATGCACCGTGCTCCCCATGCCCCCCAATGCTCCCCTTCCTATGCTCCCCGCTCCCTTTCATATCAACTCTCCCTCCCTCTCCCCTTTCAGGGTGGCGGACCCCTTCCGCCACACCTCCAATGACCTCGCCTCTCTCTTCAACCCCATCCGTCGGCTCTGTCTTTGACTTACTGCGCGTGGGGCTGCTTTGCCGTAAAGCTGTGCTCAATGCACCGTTCTCCCTCCCATTCCTTTCCTCTCTCCTCCTCCCAGGGTGGCAGACCCCTTTCGCCACACCTCAGACGGCCTCTGCTCTCTCTTCAACCCCATCGGCTCTGTCTTTGATAAACTGTGCGTGGGGCTGCTGCGCCTTAAATGCTCCGTTCTCCCTGCTTCCTGCTCCCAATTTCCTCTCCTGCCCTCTCAGGGTGGCCGACCCCTTCCGCCACACCTCCGACGGCCTTGGCTCTCTCTTCAACCCCATTGGCTCTGTCTTTGACAAACTGCGCATTGGTTTGCTGCGCCTGAAGGCCGTCTCCTCGCCCGTGGAAGGGATTCTCTCAGCGCCGGAGAGCAGCATTGAGGAGGCACTCAAGAAGCAGGGGTTCTCCAATGAGGTGTGTGTGTGTGTGTGTGTGTGTGTGTGTGTGTGTGTGTGTGTGTGTGTGTGTGTGTGTGTGTGTGTGTGTGTGTGTGTGTGTGCTTTAGCAAACTGCATACCCCATTGGCTCTGTCTTTGACAAACTGCATGTGGGGCTGCTGCGCCTGAAGGCCGTCTCCACGTCCCTGGAAGGAATCCTCGCAGCACCGGAGAGCAGCATTGAGGAGGCACTCAAGAAGCAAGGGTTCTCCAATGAGGTGTGTGCTGCGTTCTCTACACCTTCCATGTGGGATTGAGACAAGTTCTTTCACTGCAAGAAGGCCATGCCTTGCACCTCCATGGCGGACGGCTACTGTCTCCCGAAATTCTCAACGCCCAGTCCCTCGTGATTCTACTGCCCCTTGCTTCCCCCCTCCCATTCTCGGTTCTCATGCTTCATTTCTCTCCTCTTTGCCCTCATGGTTCTCATCTCGGTCCCTCATGCCGAGTTGACTTTTGGCTCGACTCAGAAGTCATTCTCGGTTCTCATGCTTCATTCTTCTCCTCTTTGGCCTCGTGGTTCTCGTCTCGGTCCCTCATGCCATGCCAGATGATCGACTGTCTCTTCTGTCCCTTTCTCCGAGGGATCTTCTTTTGACAGCGAGCCAGCACTTTCACCCAACCTGCTCTTCACAATGCCTGTTCCTTCCCTCTTCCCTTGTGTGCCTCTTCCCTTGTGTGCCTCTTCCCTTGTGTGCCTCTTCCCTTGTGTGCCTCTTCCCTTGTGTGCCTCTTCCCTTGTGTGCCTCTTCCCTTGTGTGCCTCTTCCCCTGGTCGTCCCTCCTGCTTGACCTCTTCACCATTGAATCTCCTATGCCAGATGATTGACCGCTTCTTCCGTCCCTTCCTCGGAGGGATCTTTTTCGACAACGAGCTCAGCACTTCCTCTAGGTACGCCATTCCACCCTTTTCTAGAAAAATGGTAGTTCTTTTTTTGCGATGTCTCAAAAATTCGTGTCTTCTAGGTTCGCTGTTGCTGCTCTTCTTACAGAAAGACAGGGTTTTTTTTTTTTTTTTTTTTTTTCGTCTTAAAAGCTCAATTCTTCCTCTAGGTACACTCTTGCAGCCATGTCTCCAAGAGGGATATGTGCCCTGTAAACGAAGGAGGTCTGTATGTATATCCTTGTATTCAGAGGTCCTCTTGCACACAACACCCTCCCTCTCCTCCCTCACTCTCTCCCCACTCAACTTTCACAGGTTAATGGAGTTTGTCCTTCGCATGCTCGCCCTTTCACCCAACACCCTCCCCTCATCCGGCATCGGAGCCCTCGTCTCTCACTTCACCTCTCTTTCCCACTAACATATTCCCCACGCTCCTCCCTTCCTCCCCTCTCTTCTTCCCCCTTCCCCCTTTTTCCCTCCCCCGCAGGTTGATGGAGTTTGTGCTACGCATGCTCGCACTGGCACCCAACACCCTCCCCTCATCCGGCATCGGAGCCCTCGCCTCTCACCTCACCTCTCGCCTCCCCTCCCACTCCATCCGCCTCAACTCCCCCGTCTCCTCTATCACCCCCAACCTTTCGACCTGTTTCTCACTGACACATTCTCCCTCTCTAGTTCCTCACATCTCATCCCTCCCTCTCCTCCCTCACTCTCTCTCCCCACACAACTTTCACAGGTTGATGGAGTTTGTGCTACGCATGCTCGCACTGGCACCCAACACCCTCCCCTCATCCGGCATCGGAGCCCTCGCCTCTCACTTCGCCTCTCGCCTCCCCTCTCGCCTCCCCTCCCACTCCATCCACCTCAACTCCCCCGTCTCCTCTATCACCCCCAACCTTTCGACCAGTTTCTCAATGACACATTCTCCCTCTCTCGTTCCTCACATCTCATCCCTCCCTCTCCTCCCTCACTCTCTCTCCCCACACAATTTCCACAGGTTGATGGAGTTTGTGCTACGCATGCTCGCACTGGCACCCAACACCCTCCCCTCATCCGGCATTGGAGCCCTCGCCTCTCACCTCGCCTCTCGCCTTCCCTCCCACTCCATCCGCCTCAACTCCCCCGTCTCCTCCATCTCCCCTGCTTTTCCCACCAACGAAGCCGATGGCAAAGGTTCAGAAGCTGGTTCGGGTGTGCCGAGCCTGCTGACGATGCAGGACGGGAAGAGGATCTTGGCCAAGGGAGGGGTGATAGTGGCAGTAGAGCAACCAGTGGCTGAGAGGCTGCTTCTAGGGGAGGGAGGTAGCGACAGCAGCAGCAGTAGCAGCAGCAGCAGCGATAACACAGCTAGCAGCACTTCTGCTACAGCCACTCAAGAGCCCCGCAGCACAGTGTGTCTCTACTTTGCGTCAGACTCCCCTGTCCCTATCTCCGAGCCCATCCTCTTTTTAAACGGCTCCGGTAGCGGCATTGTCAACAACCTCTGCTTCCCCAGTGTAGTGTCCCCTTCCTATGCTCCGCCTGGCAAGACACTGGTTTCGGTCTCCCTTGTCGGTGCCTACGAGGATCGGACCGAAGCTGAACTAGAGGCTCGGGTGCGCACGGAGCTGGCAGGCTGGTTCGGGAAGGAGGAAGTGGAGGCTTGGAAGATGCTCCGGGCATACAGGATTCCGTTTGCTCAGCCGGGACAAAGGCCTCCCACTGACTTCTCTGGGGAAGTGGAAGTGGGGGAGAGGGAGGGAGTGTATGTGTGTGGAGATCACAAGAGCTCCCCCACTTTCGATGGAGCATTGGCTTCTGGTAGAATGGCTGCAGAAGCTTTGCTGGCTAGAAGAGAGTAATAATGTAGACGCTTATGATATTTATGCAACAAACATTACCTCCTATTGCCTGCGCGTGTAAGGCCAATGGATCCCCATGCATGTAGTCAGCATATGTTTGCTCGGCATAATGGACCAACGAGTGTTGATCAACCAGGTGACTCAACAAGGGAACAGAGGGTCAACAGAAACTTCATCCCAATAAACCAGGGGTTGAGGAAAATGGATTTGGTGATGTAATCACTGCCACAAATAAAGATCGCCAATAAATCACGAAGTGTGATGTGACAGGTACAGTTGTGCGTTTGCCGAGGTTATGACGGGGAAAAGTTCAGCGACATTGTGAGCAGTTTATTGGCTGGTATTGAGTCGTACGCCGATGTATTGGAAGCGAGAATCTGACAGCAGTCGTAAGGCGTCGCCGGATCCATCGTAAGCGATCGAGCGAATTTGTGCGCATATTCCGCAAGGTGGAATCCCAAATCAGCGGGCTAAACTGCTCAACTTGCGGCCCGTCAACAGAAGCATGACCAATAAATCGGCCTCGTCGCCGGCAGCACGTGTATTCCCCTTAGCAAAATTTATGTAGCACGGGGCAACCGAAAACTCCGGAAAAAGCGCGGCATGGTCTCGAAAATGTACGAGTGACCAGAAAGCGCCGTGACTGACACCACCCTCGTGGTAAAAAATTCCCTGCCCGTGGCACTGGCTGAGGTTGGGCGTCCGGTGACGTGGGCCTCGTCAGCGTCAGCCTGGCATTTCGTCACGCCTGGAAGGCGCGTCGTCGAAAAATATTCCTCGGACGCGACATGATGGATGGGATGGGATTCCTTGGAGGGGATGGTTGGGATTCCTGGGGATGTGGGATTCCTGCGATTGGAATGCTTTTCAGGAGGGATGGTTCAAACACGGTGATTACAAATGGGTTCTAGACGGTACCACATTATCGAAAACGGTCTAGAGCACTGCGATGTATGTAGACTTTGTTGTACAGTTGAAAAGCTCCAGCTGAGCGAGCCTCTCAAAATTAGACGAGGCTTTGTCACTTGCAACCTTCATTCGCGTGGGTTGTTACCTCACGTCCATGGTGTGGTGGTGTGGTGGTGGCCCGTCATTCGTCAACATCCCGCCATGTTCGTGTGCCCGACTCCGTGTAATTCGGCGGCACTTTTTTAACGATCAGTATTCTCAGTAATTTTCGCTCAGTTGACACTCCCTCCGCCGCATTTCAAGGTTCAGTGAACAGCACTTACGATAGTCTTGTCTGTCCCTTGACGACATAGTACTACACCTTATCGCGAGTGGTTTTAGTGATTGACTCTTGTCGTGTATGCTTTTTTGCTAAACGCTCCGAAGTCGCTGAATCCCAAATTCTCAGTTTACGTTGAGAAAGACCGATTTAGCTTCCCTATCTGGCTGAGCTTCTGCTAACAACTAAGTCGTCTTTAGTATCTGTAGTTTACTCTCCCGATCGTCGTTGCACCATGGGACATCCCCGGGCCATTTCTCTTCTCGTAGCCACTACAACGTTACTTAGCTGTAGCTTCTCCAAGGCGCAATCCGCGGTGTCGTTTCCGGACCATACAAGAATGCAATCTACACTACCGCTAGCGTCTACAGTGTCGCTTCCGGAACATACAGGAGTGTTGCTGCCTGGAGGCTACGTCATCGTGGACCCGCGCAGCGCTGAGGTGGCACAGATTGCGGAATTCGTGGTCGCGGACATGAATGCTAAGATGGTGAGCCTCTACAGATAGGATGGCCGCCGAACATTAGTATTAAGCCGTATCGCTTAAGGCTTTTGAGTCGGATCGTACTCTTACAGCTTGTTGTTGGACGCGTCTTTCATGTCTCACCGTCTTGCCCTCCCTTCGTTCCACCCGTCCCCTATTGTCTCACCTCTTCGTTTCTCACCTCATCTGGTTGAGTCTCACAATGTATGATACCACCTCCCGCCTACCCTCTTTTCCTCTCCCCCATCTCCTCTCCAAACCACTCCCTCATTATGCCGTCATTTCATCCGCCTTTTCTTAGCTCTCTCTGTCATCCTTCCGATTTCCACTTGTTTCCCCCCATCAGGACGCGGATGTGCATTTAGAAATCGTCAACGCAGCGGAAAAGCACGCCTCTAGCGGTCACAGCTCCTCGGGTTACAACTCTCAAAGTTTCAGCTACGACGTGGTTTTCACCGCTACAACCACCACCCACGCCACCCACGCGCACTCCCCAAGCCGGAAAGCGAGCGTCGCGGAGCGGTGGTCGAAAATGGTTACCAGCCAGTACGAAGCCGTGGTGCTGAAGTCGCTACAAGGGTCGCTAGCGGTCAGCTCCGTTGTGAAAATAGCGAGTCAAGCTCCGGTGTATATACCAGTACCCCTCGTGGAGGAGGTTACCAGCTACAGTACGGGTACAAGAGGTGACTCAATGCGGGACAATGACACTGTAACGGGGTGCAATGATGGAGACGTTAGGGAAACGACACTATAGCGAGCTCGAGGGAGTCTAGTGTTTCGGACGTAATAAGGACAGGGAGAAAAGAGTGAATCTTCTCCTCTTCTTCCCCCTCCCACCCGGGTTCTTTTTACTGAGGCGCTATCGCTGCTCGATAGTGGCTAGTGTCGGGCAGAGTATGTGCTGATGCATGCACTTATCCGAGCTTCAACCATGTATGTTTATGGTTCTGATCACTGTAACAGCACAAGCTGAAGCAGAAGTAGGAGGATCAGCTATGCTTACTTAGAGAGTCTGGTTGGTCTCTCAACCTTCCAGAGAACCATCACTTGACAGCTCTACAATACCGAGGGTTACTAGAATGTTCTTTGTTGGCCTTCAATGTAGAGAGTATGTGCCTTGTGCTTATGTTTCTATGACTCACATGATAAGCAACAAGTTGCTGGATTTTTTTTACGTGTGTCTGCCATGTACTTGAATCCATTTTGCTTGGTGCCTTTGATTGCAAGCCGCACACACAAAACCTCACAAATCGTAACCTATACATTGAAAATGAAGTGGCTAAGCTCATCATCTGTCATGTACTTGGGCATTTGCTCCAGATCCACCTGATAATTGAACCCAATCCGCTTAATACCTTCATTCAATGTTGTCGAATCCTCCTGCTTCTGCTGTTGAGTCCCCAGTGCAGAATTATTTGCGTTGCTCACTGTTGGATAACGCTTGATCCCAACACTCAGACGAGAAGCAGCTAGAGCGTCTGCAAACGTAGGCCTGGTTGACCCACCCACCCAGACACCGAAGCTGGATGCACCACCCGTACCGGCTTCTGAATCTGCTGCCACGGCCAAAACTCCTGACTGAACACCTGAAGCCTTCTCAGGAATACTGGGCTTGGTGTTTGTCCCATGGGTTGGGCTTGTTTCAGCAGGTAAATTCTCAGGAGAATGTTTCTGAGATGGATCAAACCGCGAACAGCGAGGCGAGAAGACTGAACAGGGAGAGTGTGAAGCAGCAGAGGAAGGGGAGAGGGAAGCGAAGGGGGAGGAGAAGGCAGAAGAATGGGCAGAAGAAGGGATATCGGACAGTGACCTTCGTCTATTGTGGACCGGCCGAACCGGGGTTTGCTGCTTACTGCTGCGGATGGGTAGAATGTCAACCTGCAGTGGGTGAATTTCAGCTGCTGATGAGAGAATCTGGGCCGTTGAATGTTGGCACATTAAAGCCCCACTGAGGCCCCCCACAGCAGCAGTGGAGGGTACAGCAGTGGAGGATACTATAGTTGCGGCAAACATGGCAAATGGTAGGGTAGAAGCAGAGACAGCAGTAGCACAAGTGGCAGCGACAGCAGCAGCACGAGCAGCAGAAGGAGCGGCAGAATAAGCTGCTGCAGCAGCAGTAGCAGCAGGAGTAGCCACGGTAGTAGCAGATGTGCTCATCTCAGGAATGCTGCTTGAACGGGGAACTAACGGACGTACACCCCCACCAGTGGGTGACAACCGGCTAGTAGGCCTCTGCCATGCAGCTGGTGTGAAGGCTGGCTTATGTGGTGATGCGGGCTGAGAGTGAGGAGAATGAAGAGGAGGAGAGTGAGGGGGAGGAGAGTGAGAGGGAGGAGATTGAAGCGGAGGAGAGTGAGGAGACAGAGGGGAACGGCGACCAGCGCCCCTCCTGTCGGGCTTGTCCGTGCCTGTCGCAGTTCCCAAAGCAGGCGACTGTAGCACCGGCCGTAGCGCAGGGAGAGACCCATTGGGAGAGCGGTACACCCAGGCTGGGCTGTCGGTGAATTGAACGCCCCACAGCACGTATTCAGCAGCAGCAGCAGTAGCAGCAGCAGGGGATGTAGCAGCTGTAGCAGTAGCTGTAGCTGTAGCTGTGGTCCCGGGAGTGGTTGCAGCAGGAGGAGTGCTGGGAAGGAGAGACTTGGGGACCGAAACGATGTCAATGCTTCTTATGAGAACGTTCCTCAGGTCCTTGTGTGCTGCCATGCCTTGAATGTCTGATTTAGGAACGAGCGGAAAGAAACAGAATAAAAGAAAAGGCCGTTAGATGTGGAACAGTCTGAAATGCTGAGCCTCAGAAACTTCGCGCTCAGTGCAAGCCAGCCTCGTACTTTTGAGGCGCCAAAAAAAAAAAAAGCAGACGACTTATGAGACGTCTCAAAAAAGGCAGAAATGCTTAGTCCCAGACACTTCGCGCTCAGTGCAAGCCAGACTCGTACTTTCCATGTTTTAAAACAGGCTCACAAGCAGGCTCGATAAAAAGTCAAGCTCGTACCTTCCATGTTTAAGCAGGTCGCGGCGCAATCCTCGGGAGTTATTTCAAAAAGTGAGCTTGTTGTCACGTTCGAGAGTTCGGAATCCCAAGGGGAAAAGCTTCGCGTCGCTCGAGTACTTGAAGATAAAATTCTCCTGCTAAAACCATCTCCGCCATACGCAACGCTGCAGTAATCACCACCGCCTGTCGCGCCGACGCCTTTCGAGCCGCATAGCAACGCTACGTCCGCGGACCCGCGTCGCGTCAGCTTGCCGCCTGGGCGGCTCGAACTGACGGAGGCGGCTGCCGGCGCAGCAGTGGGGTTGACGGACATAGACGGCCGTCTCCGTCCGTTTATCGTCAAGGCCGGCGCGCCGTCTTGGCGCGTGTGGTATTCGCGCCTCATTTCAGAAAGGCTGTAATGCGCGCGATTCGCCGCGTCTCCACTCGAATCAAAGGCGGCCACGCCGCTACGACTGAGCCCGATCGCCATCTTCATGTTGCTCTGCGCCGCGGCTCCTGCGGCGGTGGTGGATGCGCCTGCAGCTGTGGCGGCGGCGGAGGAGGCGGCGGCGGAGGCGGAGGTAGTAGCAGCAGTCGAGAGCATTTTGCGGCGGTGAATCTGCTTCTCGAGCGAGGGAGCCGGCGCGAGAGTCGGCACGTCACGTTGACGAGGAATGGCGAAATTTGGTGTCGCGAAATCGCCTCTTTGGTGGTAACTAGCTTTCTGGTATTCAAAGCTTCCGCTGGCAGTTGCGCCAAAGTCGACGGTGGCCGTGGCGGATTCGGAGACGTTCAGCGGCGCGGCTTGAGTCGCGCAGGGAGCCATTGAATCTCCAAATGGCGCAAGGGGACGGAAATCTCGGATATTGCAGAGACCGGATGAAGCGGGGTTTTCAAGGCGGGAAGCGCCGAAAAGCAAGAGCGGCACTATTGCAACCGTACAAATTCAAGGGCCTGGGAAAAACGGCTTCTAAGTCAGCGACAGTGAGCGCCGCGGCCCTACGTGGCAGGGTACCAAGAACGTAGTAGCAGTACGTGTCGTGTAGGACGAGAACGGGAAGGTATCGGAGCAGCACACTGTGTGTGATGTGTGTTCTCGGAACGGACGTTCTCAGATGTGACGGAGGCTGTCACGGAGTGACTGGAGTGGCGCGGTCGCGGTAGGTCGTTTGCCCTTTTGCTCGATAACGTGATGCAGACCGCGGCGGATGAACTGCGTGATGCAGTGTGGGGTTTACTGGGATGAACTGTTTGTAGTAGTGGCGGTCGCGTGAACGACGCCATTTTATTTGGGACTTCAGCTCTCCGCATCCGACACGTGAAGGAGAACGACAGCCTACATGCCATGGGTATGGAAGCCATAGACGAAATGTGAACAGAGTGGTGCGCCTATGATTTCGTCGCCGCTAGCTGGTAGTCCTAAGGAAAGCGCGAGCACCAGTGGGCTACAGTAATAAAATGAGTAATACAGATGGTCGAATCTTAGAAATGACTGTCTGCCTGCCTTGCCCCTGTGGGGCTCAAATCAAAGTCGCCTTTCTTTCTGTTTAAAGCCCAAGACCTGAATTACAAACTAAACAAGGCAAACTGTGCACAGTTTGCCTTCCGAGCCCAAAGTTGACCTCCCGAGCCAGGATGGTTACCAGACAGGCGTCGCATCCCATAAGGACTGCGTCGTATATCAGGACGCGTCTACTTGGCGACAGTCCCAACCACCCTTTGCCCAAGGAAGAAGGGAACTGCCTGTGCACAGTTTGCTTGAAGATGGTAATTCAGGAAAGGCTGTGCGGCTACTACTCGAGACTCTAAGCTTTTGCCCGTAGCAAATTCCTACCTTCAACCCCGTTGCTCCGCGAGAGTTGTTATTGCGACGGCCCAAGCGTGAAAGGCTTGAAGCGCATATTACGAGACGTCGCTCCTTTCCGTCTCAAAATGTGAACCTCGCTATCCCCTCACATCGTCCTCCCCCTCCACACACCGTCAGCCTCGCTTCCCCCGTGGTCCCCGTTGTCATTGCCCTCCCATCGCCCTTACCCCTATCCCCTCCCATCGCTTCCTCGTGGTCGTCGCCGTGCCCCCTGGCATTGCTTCGCGAACCACTCCGCCACCACCCACTTTCGACGTAGTCGTGTCTCCACCACTCTATCCTGACATGTTTTCTCACTCGGAAAGCCCGTGCACACCCCCACGGGTCTCCTCCCTGCGCGCGCTCCTTTCTGGTAAGCCCGCGCGGCATCCTCTCGCCACCCCGCGCGCACTCTTCTCGCCTCCCCGCGCGTGCTCCTCTTGCCTCCCCGCGCGGCCTCCTCTCACCATCCCGCGCGTGCTTCTCTCGCCTCCCCTCGCGTGCTCCTCTCACCTTCATAGCGCGCGAATCTCTTGCCTCCCCGCACGGCCTCCTCTCACCTCGTCGCGCGTCCTCCTCTCGCCTGCCCCACGCGTGCTTCTCTCGCCTCCCTGCGCGTGCTCCTCTCGCCTCCCCTCGCGTGCTCCTCGACCCCCCCCCCCCCCGCGCGCGCGCGGCTCTTGCCTCCCCGCGCATCCTCCTCTCGCCTCACCTTGCGTGCTCCACTCGCCTCCCCGCGTGTGCTCCTCTCTCCTCATCTTTCGGCGTGACCGCGCCACCGCGCGCATGCGTCTCTCTCCATGCCTTGCGTAATCTATCGCCTCCCCGCGCGTGCTCTTCTCTCCTCACGTTGCTTGCTTCTCTCGCCTTCCCATGCATGCTCCTCTCTCCTCACCCTACGTGCTCCTCTCGCCTCCCCGCGCGTGCTCCTCTCTCCTCACCTTGCGTGCTCCTCTCGCCTCCCTGCGCGTGCTCCTCGCCCTCTCCCCCTATCCATCCTGAAACGTCGTCGTGCCTCATTGCGTCGCTTGCGTTCACCACTCCGCGACCACCCACTTTCGACGTATGCGTGTCCCCACCACTCCCCACTATCCTGACAAGGGCCCCGACGTTTCCTCACTCGGGAAGCCCGTCCACACGCCCACGTTTCTCCTCCCTGCGCGCCCTCCTTTCTCGTAAGCCCGCGCGCCATCCTCTCGCCTCCCGCGTGCGCTCTTCTCGCCTCCTGCGCGGCATCCTATCGCCGCCCCGCGCGCACTCCTCTTGCCTCCCCGCGCGTCCTCCATTCACCTTGCGTGCTCCTCTCTCCTCACCTTGCGAAGCTCCTCTCTCCTCACCTTGCGTGCTCCTCTCGCCTCACCTTGCGCGCTCCTCTCTCCTCCCCTTGCGTCCTCCTCTATCCTCACCTTGCGTGCTCCTCACTCCTCACCTTGCGTGCTCTTCTCTCCTCACCTTGCGTCCTCCTCTCTCCTCACCTTGCGTCCTCCTCTCTCCTCACTTTGCGTGCTCCTCTCTCCTCACCTTGCGTGCTCCTCACTTCTCACCTTGCGTCCTCCTCTATCCTCACCTTGCGTGCTCCTCACACCTCACCTTGCGTGCTCTTCTCTCCTCACCTTGCGTCCTCCTCTCTCCTCACCTTGCGACTGCCTCTCTCCTCACCTTGCGTGCTCCTCTCTCCTCACCTTGCGTGCTCCTCTCGCCTCCCCGTGCGTGCCCCTCTCTCCTCACCTTGCGTCCTCCTCTCTCCTCACCTTGCGTGCTCCTCTCTCCTCCCCTTGCGTGCTCCACTCTCCTCACCCTGCGTCCTACTCTCTTCTCACCTTGCGTCCTCCTCTATCCTCACCTTGCGTGCTCCTCACTCCTCACCTTGCGTGCTCTTCTCTCCTCACCTTGCGTGCCCCTCTCTCCTCACCTTGCGTCCTCCTCTCTCCTCACCTTGCGTGCTCCTCTCTCCTCAACATGCGTGCTCCTCTCTCCTCCCCTTGCGTGCTCCTCTCTCCTCAGCTTGCGTGCTCCTCTCTCCTCACCTTGCGTCCTCCTCTCTCCTCCCCGCGTGTGCCCCTCTCTCCTCACCTTGCGTCCTCCTCTCTCCTCACCTTGTGTGCTCCTCTCTCCTCACCATGCGTGTTCCTCTCTCCTCACCTTGCGTGCTCCTCTCTCCTCACCTCCTGTGCTCCACTCTGACAGGTGGGGTGCTCCTCTCTCCTCACCTCCCGGGTTTTGCTCTGACAGGTGGGGTGCTCCTCTCTCCTCCCCTCCCGTGCTCCACTCTGACAGGGCAGGGTGCTCCTCTCTCCTCACCTCCCGTGCTCCACTCTGACAGGGCAGGGTGCTCCTCTCTCCTCACCTCCCGTGCTCCACTCTGACAGGGCAGGGTGCTCCTCTCTCCTCACCTCCTGTGCTCCACTCTGACAGGGCAGGGTGCTCCTCTCTCCTCACCTCCCGTGCTCCACTCTGACAGGGCAGGGTGCTCCTCTCTCCTCACCTCCCGTGCTCCACTCTGACAGGGCAGGGTGCTCCTCTCTCCTCACCTCCCTTGCTCCATTCTGACAGGTGGGGTGCTCCTCTCTCCTCACCTCCCGTGCTCCACTCTGACAGGTGGGGTGCTCCTCTCTCCTCACCTCCCGTGCTCCACTCTGACAGGTGGGGTGCTCCTCTCTCCTCACCTCCCGTGCTCCACTCTGACAGGTGGGGTGCTCCTCTCTCCACACCTCCCGTGCTCCACTCTGACAGGTGGGGTGCTTCCGGACCTGTTGTTTAGTTCCTGAACTGCCCACCCTCCCCTTCACAGCCAACTCAATTCAATGACCTGCGTAATCCGATAGTTCTCCCCCCCCCCCCCCCCCCCCCCCCCCCAACCCATTCACTCCCTAACCCCTCCCTCTCCCTTCTTGTTTTCTGCCTGATGTTCCCTTTTCTCACCCTCTAAACCAGTCCACCTCATCAGTCATGTCTTCATGGAGACGTACTCCTCGGAGACGGCTGACGCTTGGATTCAGGGTTGGGGAGGAGGGTTCCGAGGATGATGAGGAGGAGAGGGGTCGGCGACGTGGACCGGAGTCGATGTTCACGGCAAGTACGGGCACCCTTTCAACCCATACTCGTTCGGTTGCTGCGAGCACAACACGTCCCTTTCCCAGGGTTCGAGCTCGAAGAGTTGTGCAGCCAACGGGCTTGCCCCCGTAGGTTCAACATGCGAAAGAACGGTGGTCCATATCTGAGTTTGAGGGGCGATATGCCAAGCAGCATCGTGTGCTTGACGCTTGGGCGCGACATTGGCTCGGATTGTCGGATGAGGAGGGCCCCGGGAGTCAGAGAATTAGTGTGGCGAGCATTCTGAGGGTGTGTTTGGGGAAAAACACGGAAGAGGATTCTCAAGGTCAACCTATGGGGCCAAAGAACCATCGTTTTCGTTGCTATATTCAATACTCAGCCTTGTTAGGTAATCATCCATGGCTAATCCACGTCATGATCGGCTCGCTTTACCCCGAGCCAACGGGCATGGGTTACAGAAAATGTAGTCAAGGTGATGTGGACTGGTTCAACCTGGAATGGAGCATCCCTGACGAGATTGATTTTGGGATGAGGTCAAACGATGCTAGGTCAATTGTCAATGTGGCCACGCAGGAGTCTGGAATTTACTGATTGTTAGGGAGGGAGGGATGGTTATCGGGTACGATTTATTGTGTACATGTGTTCCTCTTTTTACACAGTCTGCAATAGTTTGACATGTGGATGGATGACCATCCATCTATGATGGATAGATCAATGAAGAAGCCCTATGTGTGCATTCAAGTATGTTATTTGATGGGGGAGGACATGTTTCACTTCTCAGCTTCTAGCCATGGGGGAGCGTGTTGCATCATTTGCCTACACTACTTGTGAAAAAACGGCATCCTCACGTGCACGGGATTAGTGCGAGGCAAGCACACGCTTAGAGTTGCACGTGAACACGTGTAGGTGCAGTGATGAATGGGGCTGATGGTGACTTGGCTGATGTCCAACGCTGCTTGCCCTTGCCCTTGCGGATCTGAGCACAGAGAGAGGCGGGAGGGTCGAGACAGGTGGAGAGAGGTGGAGACAGGTACTACGGAAACAAGTTTGCAAAAAGTGGTGCCGAGTGCATGTATTAGACCAGACAGTACACTTGGGAGTGTGTCTCAGTGTAGTGCATGTGGTGCGGACAGAGCAGCCACGGCGAGCGGAACGTGCACTACGGACAGCATGAGCAATGCAGAGCAGACAGTGCAATGACTCACCTCCCGTGTGAGGTCTTGGCCACTCTCTTCACAGATATGCAGCATGCTCTCCGTTGGCTGACATGCAGGGGGGGATAGGAAGGTGGGACAGGAGAGAGGATGGGACAGGCAAGGGAGGGGAACAGGACTGAACCAGTATTGGGAGCTGGACAAGGGGAAGGGGATGGGGCGGATGAGGGGGTGGGAGGGGAAAAAGGGGGTGAGGGAATGGGTGAGAGGGGAGACGGGGGTGGGGGAGGGTAACGTTTTGGGTGACCGGGCTGAAGGATTAAGTCTCTTGGGTGTTTCACAACGCCTGCTCGCAGCAACCCCTAGCAAGTGGAACTAGTTGGGGGAGAAGGGCAGAAGTGATGTGTTACCTGATGAAATTGAGGGGAGGGGAGGGGGTCCGGTAATGTGGTTTCTCGGGAAGGGAATTGAGGGCGACCGGACTCGGGAAGTGTGGGCGACTCGAAATATGGGATACGAGGGCGACGGGACGCGAAATGGGGGCGACGGGAAGCTGAAATGTGGGCGACGGGAAACTGAAAATGAGGGCGACGGGGGGCTGAGATGAGCCCGACGGGAGGCTTCTCACCATGCGCTATGTGAAAGGCAGGCGCTCGCAATCGGCGGGGAGGGGACTTTCCCGGGCAGGGCGGGAGGCTTGATGCTGAGAGCGCCTCGAGCGCGTGGGAGTCTAAGCTGCACCGACGGGTGGCGTAACAAGGCTATGTGGGGCAGACCGATGGATATGTCCGCCCTGTTCCCTATGTGTTGAGGGCGTTGTCGAGGGCGCTTGTTTTAGCCTACACTTTTCGAGTACCGCTGAAAATCGCTAGGTCAAGCCTTGATGTGTTAGGCTAACTCACGTGCGACCTTGCGTTTAGTAACGCCATTGCCCTCCACACCCTAAAAATCACACTTTTTCGGTACAGTCATTGGGGACATTCGCTCCCAACGGCTCCTCCTCGTATTTATAGAGGCTAAGGTCGCGCCTCGCTGAAGGGGACTTAGAATTGTTATGTTTGTTCGAGTGCCTGTAATTCCCTATTCAAACTGTGCACACTTTCCCTGGGATGTTGCTTCTCAGGTCTGTCGAACTTGGGAAGATGGGCCCTGCCTGATTTTTCCAACCAATTAGCAAGTGCACAGTTTGTGGCGAACTGTATTCAGTCGCAAGCTGGTTTTGGTTTTTCGCGTGTCACTCAACCCATCCGAACCTCCAACTGGCAGCCCGCCGAACCTAGAAATACTCAGTTGACTGCCGTTGAGTAATTCAGGTCTTGGGCTTTAATATTCAAATGTGGAGATTTGCAACCGCGACGCGTGCCTACGAGCCGCGATGAACGGAAAACGTGGGAAAGGTCACGATGATGCCTGAACCAAGGAGATATTTTGTATCCGACGGATAAAATGAAGCCCGAACCAGCAGAAGTTTTAGTTCGGGAAGCTGACACTGGAGGGCCAACATCATAGACATGCAAATTAGTCTGGCAACCCTATCCAATGGTATGTGTAAGGAAAATCATTTTTCCTTACTTCGCATCCCTGCTCAACGTGTACATCACTATAGCACCACAGTCAGCACCGTTACCACTCGCGACCCTCGCATCGACAATCAGCCCGCCATTTTCGCACATCGCACCCCAACCTCAGGGCTCGGCTGGTAACCCGCGCTCCGGGCCTCCGCTTCGACACTTTCCCAAACCTCGGTCCCAGGCCCGTCACGCGACAACCACAGTCCATTACCGTTACCACTATAGTTTCGCTATATATTCTTCGCTCATGCCTTCGCTCATTGGATTCTTGCTTCGATAGTGCAATTCCCGTTCATTTACTCAATTGCACTCGTAACACTTGGTAATCAGAGCCTACGATCTCCTCTTGGACCGCACCCACATTTTCGCTTCCCCACTATCTCAATTTTTGGGGGGGGGTAGACGTCTCTCAGCGATACAGCACCGCCGCTCGTAGTGCTCTCTCGTAAGCACGCACGACCACGACCGAGGCTCTCGCTGAGCTCGCCCGACACCCCCGCCATGGCCGATTTCACGCCCGCCACATTGACGCAGGAGCAGCTTGATCGTCTCGTGCGCCAACTTGAAGACTCGGCGCTCGAAATCGTGACGCTCACGGCGGAACGTGACTCCGCCCGTCAACAATCCACGGTGAACATTCCAGCGACATCACACGCACTGACAAATGCATCTGCACAATCAGACAAGCCGATCATCATTTCGTCCGGCACACCAACACAACACGACAGCATGGGACAACGCTCAGGCGCAGCCAGTGATGGCGCCGCCCAGCCGATGCCTGGCATGGGAGGAAGCAGGGTCGTACAAAGCCCGCGGGAGCCCCGTGAAGCCCGTCGGCATGTGGAATTCGCGGCGACAAGTGGCGAACAGGCCATTATGGCACCAATGCCGCTCAAGCCACAACGCCCGCCCTGCTTCGACCCAAGCCAACGTGGAGGTCCGACGGTTCAATCGTGGGTCTTCACGATGAACGTCTTCTTCGACGCGAACTACGTCGAGTCGGACGCCGCGAAGATTCCGTATGCAGTTTCGCTGCTAAGGGGCCCCGCCATGGACTGGTGGCGAGTCATTGTGACGTCACCACGCGCCTACGAGCCACCGTCGCACGAGGAAGGGCCCACGGGTCCTGCTGTCACCTGGAGTTCGTTCTGCGAGACCGCCCAATACAGCACGTGGGATGCGTGGTGCGCAGGGCTTCGGGCGCGCTTCGAGCCGATTGCGGCTTCCATTTCGGCGCGTCAGAGACTGCGCACTTGGCGGCAGCTCGGGTCGGTTCAAGATTATACGAGCGGTTTTCTCGCACTTTGCGAACAGGTCGGCTACATGCACGAAGCGGAGCGGGTGGACCGTTACGTCGGAGGGCTGAAGCCGGATATCTCGCACGAAATCATGCTGCGCGGACTCTCCAACTTCAACGAGATTCTCGCGCTCGCCGAGAAAATTGACATTCTACGCCGACCGAGACCGGGGTCCTACTACGGACATCGCCCTCGGGGACCGACCGAGCACGCCACTGTACACGACGTTGCAACGAATGCAGCTGCCGCACCGTTTAAGGGGCGCTGCTTTGCTTGCAACAGGCCGGGCCATCGCAAGAGCGAATGCCCAGAGGAGCTGAGGCGCCGGGGAGCAGAGCAGGGGAGGGAGTCTCAGAGGCAGGGAAACGCCAGCAGTCAGTAGAAGTTGGGCCAACTACTGACGAGACTGCCTGCTCGCCCAACCGCACCGACCCTCACCGAGTCACAGTACCGATTCACGCCATCGATCGGGCTCGGATGAATAAGGAGGGTACAGCGACGGATTGGCCAGTACTGATCCACGGAAAAATACAGGGAGCAGCAGTGAAGATTTTTATTGATGGAGGAGCGAGTCACAGTTTAATTAATACCGCAACCGCACGAAAACTATAGTTAACACTTAACCGTTGCCTACCTGAGATAGACGCACGCTTAGTCGACGGCACGCCACTGGCCATACGGGAA